AGAAGCTCTAGTCCGGCGAAAGTTCCTAGATGCCCTCGTGACTTCTGCACATGTGTCTAGTGTATGCTGTTTCTGTATTGGCATGAAGAAGTACATGCACTGGCATGAAGAAGTACATGCATTATGCAAGTCTTTTGATAGACATGTCATACTATGAGGCATGCAGGGGTTTCCATGTACTGCGAATTTATGTCCAAGCTGCCGTTATTGACAGCCCAGTCTGCGTCCAGAAGAAGCCGGTCGAATACGTCGCGGCCAGCTGTCCAATTCTGCCAGAGGTCTCCTGCATCGCAGCTGGACCCACTTTGAGTGAGATAGCTCAAGTTGGCTCCGTCCCGCTCCTCGTGTTAAGAAGCAGGCTACGGCATGGCGTCCCAGATGATGCATAAAGCCTGGCATCTGCCGAACCAGTCCTCGCCCATTTAGTGTGACTTCCTTCCTTCATTAAACGGGCCTGTTTGTTTGAGCTGTCGCATCAAGGCATCGATGAATGGATATCCTGTCTTGCCGGCCTGGAAAGCTCTGCTGAACTGGCGAATGTGAATGCCAGAACAAATTGACGAACCAAGGGAACCAAGGGCAAGCAAGGAACTGCTCAACTTAGAGTCAGGTAGCCTCCCATGCAGCAAGAAGATTTTCATCGCAGCCCCAAGGAATCATTTTGCACATGGAGTTCCTGAGCAACGCAAGCAAGCGGCTGGAAGTCTTAGTAGGACTTGCTCGTTTACCTTACAGTTACAGGTGCTCACTAGCTGTTCTAAAATCCTCTCCAACGAGCTGACACCAAAAGCCAGGTGGTTTCGGGATCTGAGCATCGACAAGGAGCCCCTCATTTTCATCGAAGTTTGGAACAGCCGCACCAAGCAAGTAGAACATCTCGCGGAAAAGCAGCCTGCGATGCAGATTTCGAAGAGCAAAAAGCGCAACTCCTCAAAAAGCTGGACTCGGAGTCGACGAGCGGCTGGCCGTGCAAAGACTGCGGAGGCTGAGAGTGGCTCTTGCCACGAATGCAGCGGTCGATGGCATACCAGGCCGTCCGCACCGAGAGGCAACCGAACTTCAAGTACGGCGAGAGACCTGGCAAGTCTAGCACGTCGGCAACTGTGCGCTGAAATTGGACTTAGCATCGCAGACCCGCGGACTGCTCTGCATGAGCCGTAGTCACGGCAACAAGGCTCGGTGCCCCCAAGTGCCAAAGCGGCACCTGTGGTGGAAGGCTCCCAAGGACATCCCGGTCGGCCAGTAGAGGCTGTCTTCGGCTTCTCGAAGCTGCAAACCTTGGCACAACATGCTCGGCTGTTTCGGGTCCGCAGTTTACGTCGACGATCTTCAGTTCAAAGCCTGGTTCTGCAAGCAGGCAAAGTTGTAGGTGGGCCCTGACGATTGGCCAACAAGGTCCGACTTGCGATTGCGCAAAGTGTTTGGAAACATCAACTTGACGCATACTGGTGGTTTTGGTGCACTTGACGCCGGAAACCGCAAATAGGTGTGGCTCTGAGCAACTCCTCGCCCAAACCAGCTGCGGCCCGGGACGTGAAACATGTGTCGACAAGTGCGATTCATCCCAGGCTTCAACAATGCCGGCAGGGGATGCAAATGCACGGAGATGCGACCACACCAGGTTAAGGCACTTGACAACACGAGCTTGTGCCCGGCAGTAGGTTAACAAGATATTGCCAGATGAGAGGAGTGCTGATTGCTACCATTTTAACTTTTTCTTATACTTATACTTTTTGTTTGTATGGGCATCATTACTACTGCTGATACTGCTGCCACGTGTAACATTCTTAATACTACTATTACTCTTCTTCAATAATACTATTCAGCAAATGCTGTGTCGTCCCGGTGGCGTATTGCACATCTGAGCAGGTACGCTGAAGCCTTGCCAAGGCCTCGGTCTCGCCACCTGCAAGGATTGCACGGTTTAGAATTTCGGGGTTTAGATCCCTCTTCAGGAGACCACAGGGTTCTATAATAGGGTCCCTTTACAGGGGACCCTTTTAGAGATCCGTCAAGGGCTGTAGGGGGATTACGCCTTCGCAACTCGAACGCAGCTAGAGGGTTTGGGGTTCAGGTACGCAATCGGATGCACGAGTCTTGCGGAGAAGACTTGACTCCTCCAAAGTGTCATGTTGGACAAGGGCACAGGATCTGCTTTTGGCCTGGAAACCCCTGGCTGATCGGCTCTTCATCATACAGCTCGGAGATATCTGGTACCTGGTGTCCTTTCGTAGAGCATCTGCAAACACTGCTGACAGCACGGCTTTTCCTGCTTCTGAGACTGGCAGCTTGCTTGCGGACCAGTGTGTCCTTCGATCTTCAGAGGTGGAATTTTCGGCACATCAAAAGGTTGCCGAAAGGGTCCCGCGGCATTCACAATCTCAGCTGCGGATCTTGCAACACCGAAATAGAAATACATGGAACCTGAAAGCTTTCAAAGCGGACACGGCCAGGTTGCAGTCTGAATGCTCTTCATGGAAATCGGAGGCTTAAAGCCTGGCTTTGCGACTGTAGCATCGATGTCCAACAGTGTGTGCCCGGAAAGCTTTTCCTCAACCAGCGGGCAAAGTATTGCAGAAGTCTACCACTGGTCAGAGGTTACTCGGTTGGTTCATAAGCACCGCCACTCAGTATCTTGAACCTGCCCGGGACTTCATTCCCACGCCGAGCGCATCCAAGCGTCTGCGTGCACTCCTCCCTCCTCGCAAACAACTCGCGACTGGCAGATGCATTAAAGATTGGCTGTCTGTGAAGGGGTTGTGGCTATCTACCAAGTCGTGAAATAGTTCTTTCAGCCTGCCTTCGCCATGGCAAGCACACGCTCATCGCGAGCACGCGCATACGGCTCTGTATCTGCCTCGATGCAAGCAATCAGCAGAAATTCAGACCCTTGACCCGATCGATCCATCCATCGCTCCACATTTAGTCTCTAGAGCAGTTTCGAATCATCTTATCCATGCTGCAATCACGGTCAGATTATGCCGAAACAGGTGCTCTACGGTTCGCCCAAAGCCGAAAACTCAAAGGCCTCCCAGAAGATGGCCGACAGGCGGACGGGAGCCTGAGGGAAGCATGCAAGCCAATGTAAGCTTGCATATGGGGTCCTTAATACAATACGGCACCTATCATTTAGGATGCCCAAAAAGGAACCATAATTTTGACAACCGCCCATATGAATACCGTATATCTGGCAGGACGACTGGCAACCAGGAACTGGAAGAGCAAGGACCCAGAAGGTTGTGCAGGCCTTCCCTCCGAAAAGCTCCACGAGCACTTGTTCTGGCTGGCCTGCACACGCTGCTGGGAGATATACTTGAGCTGATGTCTGTTGCGGGCAGTTTTGTTTTGCTTCACTGGTATATTGCTGCGGCTCATGGTCATTGTGTCACAGCCACTTTAGCCTGAAGTCCACCTACGATTGCGCATCCTATAGAACTTGTGCGATCTCGCGTGGCCACTACCGCATTGGCCTCGGAATACAAGCAGACGACTGCCGCGTCCACGAAGCTGCCCGTCGAGGTCCTTGCGCGCGTGGAGCAGGAGGCAAGATCAGCCTTTGTCGAGCATGGGAGCACTCATGTGGTCGGTTGGCCGTGAGCTGCTAAGCCAATGTCTCTACCCACCCTCTGTGACTTGGGAGTGACTCGCTGCACTGTTGGAGGATGGCTGGCCAACCCACCCACATCGCGCGCCCAAACAGAGTTGCATCTGCCAAGGACGGTGACAAAGGTATCCACCCAAGCCCAAGCAAACACAGAGGCAATCAAATCACGAGTGTGCACGATTCGACGAATGTCAGAGAAACGAAAGGGCAGGTAGCCAGCCACGCGCTCAGGTGAACCAGTCCTTCAAGCTCTGCAACAAGAAGTTGAACCTGCTGCACAGCCACCGAGAAGCAGCATCAGAAAGAACAACACCACTCACGGCGGGGTGGGCCTATTGACCCCGACCCGGCTCTTGTCGAAGTGCGGATCGAGGATGAAAAACGGAACCACATCCAATCCGCTGGCCACAGCCTGCGATCCGAAGGCGCACATCTGCGGATGCCGAAGGTGACACGTTACTTATCAATAAGCAGACAGAGTCAATGCCTTGTGCTGCTTCAACTACTCACTACGAGTAGTGGCTACTACGGACACTGTACGACTCCGCTCATACAGGCCTTCACCAGCGGCTCGTTATCGTGAAGGCGCAGGCATTTCCGAAACCATACGCCGGCGGCCATGGATTCGGCACCTATAATATTGAAATTTTCGAGAGAGAAGGTGAGCTTGATCAAGCCTGGGGGGTGGGCTTATCATGCACCTTTGGCTGTGCCGCTTGGGCAGGATTGGCAAAAGTAGGGTCATCAGTCATGCACCGCGTCGAGTCAGACTTGACCCCAAAGTGCCAGCAACATGTATAATGCATCAATCCCGACTGGCTTCTATCACAGCTGATGGCACTCGGCAACAAACCCAGCCCATCCGAGTTTTCGCGCTCTCGCGAGCAAACCAGCTCCCTTCAGGCTTATTGCTAAAGGGGCCGCTTCCAAAACCTTCTCATGGCTGGGAGCTTGCTTTGCACTTTTCCCAGCCACGAAATGAAATGTGCGGACACGAAAGGGGAGTCCCATGGCTCGTGACAAAACTGGAACAGCCAAACAACATTTTCTGCACATCTTCATGTGACCCCCAGGCAATGACGACCGATGTCCATCCAACCCACTCGCACCTAAGGCCATGCTCCACTTTCTGTCTAGCTTCACACTCCGTTTGGAGGCAGCTGCGGCACTACCTAGCTTTCCTTTGCAGCATGCTCCATGAGATTGCATTATCTAGTCAGAACCTAAGAATCTAGTTCAGCACAGTGCTGCAAAGGCTCATGGGAAAGCTTGCAGTTGACAAGCAACTACCCATGCTCAAAAGATTATGAAAAACATGGCGTGGAGTATCCACAATAAGAACTGGCGCAAGGTTGGCGGACACTGTCCGGCACACGCCGAAGGTACTGCTTCCAAGTCACCGTCGAAACGGGCTCTGCGGGAAAATGTCGTCCGCATCACAGCTCTGTAGCCTCTCGAAGTTCAGCTCAGTCCGGGGTTTGGGCACCCCACCCATAGTCTTGAAGAAGATGATGGTTTCTTGCGGACAAGCGGAGATGTCGAAAGTGTCATTCCTGCGGTGCCAGAGACAGTCCGGGCCTCTGGGTGACTGGTCTCCTTCAGGTCGTCCTCCGAGCTCAGGGGGCAGGCGAGCTTCCAGCATGGCCATTAACCAAAGCATCTTCTGCTTGGAAGGTGCCAGTTGCTGCATACTGCTGCCATAGATGTTCAGATGACAGAAGCACAATCGGCAAAGGCACTCCACAAAGGCATTGAAGTTCAGGGACTCCTGGCCGTACCTGGTCTCGCACTCCTGCATGTGTTTCTCGAGGGCGAAGGTCTGCACGAAGTCCGGCAAGAATTGGAGGTCTTTCAATAACTTCTGGAACAGGACCGGGCCCATCAACGGCTCGTTCTCAGGATCACTGAAATCCTCTTGCACGTAGTGCTGGAACAGTGCCTGCCACATGCACTCCAGTTGACTCTTATTTACAGGTTGGCTCAACACACACACACACATACACACGCGTGCACACACACACACACACACACACACACTCACTCACTCACTCACTCACGTGCAAGCAAACACGCTCACGCACAAGCAAACAGAATCACGCGCATGCACACGCAAAAGCGTCAACGGCCAGATGCGCATGTCATTGTCAGAACTGTAGGACCTGTAGGAGGTCTATCCGTGTTTGCCCGGATATACGGGTGTGCCCACATCCCGCCCCTTACTTCCTGCTAGGCTGACTCGTCTGTAGAGTAGATGCTATATAAAGTCAGCATCCGTAAACAAGAAGAACATCCTGCAAAGCCAACATTCCATACTGAATAAGTAAGCAGACTTCGTAGCATCTGTCAAACCCCCAGGCACCTCTGCTACTTCTCGACTTCACCTACCGAAAGAAATGATCCGATCCTGGCGAAGTTGCGAGGGCTGCGGTGCGGCCCAAGTTTGGAGGCTCTTCTAAATACACGCGGCGAATGCAGCATGTCTCTGCTCATCGGGGCGAACCGCTCCCAGGGTCCCAACGGGTCATGATTTTCCAAGACCGGCAAAACGTGAAGTCTCGCATCCAACAGAGGCTGAAACACAGACTTCGCACGATGTGGAAAGTTGGATTTTGCAAGATTCGGACTCTGAGCTCGCACGCCTGCACCGTGCACCCGAGCCAAAGCGCTGACTAATGTTGCTCCGCGACAGCGCGCTGATGCCTCATTCCCTGAACTGTGAGCCTCAGCATGCCTCTAAGACTTAACATAGCTGGCTTCAGTTGACAGCGAAACATGGAAACCGATGAGAGTGCTGATGCTTGCTGGTGTTTGCCTCCACCCACACCAGGCAGGAAATGAGCGCAATGCAACGATGAGGAAATCGACGTGCCACGAGTTCGGTACGTACGGTTGGGAATCTACAATAGTTAGTTATTTTCAAGATCGGCGTGGCCTGCAAGAGTGCCTTGTACTCGTGTAGCAGTTGCAAACACTCTGGCTCGCACATCCTGAAGTCAGCAGCATGGTCTTGACATGGGGCTCAGATGCAAACATGCAATAAATGGAGGCCGTGGATCTGCTGTTCCGCCAAATTCAGTTGCCAGCTCTGTGGCAGCTTGCTGTCAGGAGGATCGCCCGCCTCACTCGCATCCTGCACACGGCGGTTCTGTGAGAACTGACTGACGGGGCAAAGGGGCAGGAATCGGAATTGCTAGTACCATATTGACCGGGCGGCCTCACTACCTGCGAGCTATGTTCCCCCACCGAAGTCTTCCCTTTTGTTCTGCAGCCCGCGGTCATCGCCAATCGTGGAGCCAGCGGCGCTGAAGAAGCTCAGGGCCCGCGAGGCACTGCGCGACCTGCAGAACACTGAAGCACGAACTTGGCAGTCCATGTTGGGTGCTTCAAACACGCTCGCTTACGAGTGTAACCTAATAACTAGATCAACATAGATCAACATGCGCCCCCTCACAGGGCTTGATAGTGGCAGCCACTTGCGGCTAGACACAGCTGATGCTTCGGACAAGGCATCGTGTGGTGACTCTGTAGAGCAACAAGACGGATGAAGACGGTGGTGCAGGACCTGCCGTCCAAGCGACATATTCCTAGACATCGACCGCGACATTGACATGGCCCGTTGACCTTGCAAGGAACAGCTTCTGCGGAAAGCATGCCCGAAGATTCTTGCATGACAATTGAACAAACTCTGTAAAATGTAAAACTTGCAAGCAAGCGACTGCCATGCATCGACTTCTTGCGCTCTCCTTGCAGCACCGCATCATACAAGTACTGTACCAGCTCTGAAATTCTTGGAGGCTCATGCAAGCTCATGCCATGCTGCTCCGGCCCCGGCCTTGTACGGCTTTCGTGATCGTCTTCTGCGCATCGTCGTCGGTGATCCCGAGCTGCTCTTGCGCCCGGGGGAGGAAGACTTTGAAGATGGCTTCCACGATCTCCGGGCCTTTGGCGTAGAGGCCACTGGAGCGGAGCACGGCTTGCAGCGCATTCGCCCAGCTCCCGAAGGAGAGCGCCGGGGGATTCGAGTTCGCCTCTTGACAAAGCTTGAAGATCTTCCCGGCAAGCACCCACGGGACTTTCCTGGGCTATGGCCTATGGCCCATGTTGCAGCCGCTACGGGTATGGCATGCCGCAAAAGTGAGCGACTGAACCAAGCATCAACTCCTCTGCTTTGCGGTGATCCCATGAATCAGCCGGTCCGATCAAGTCGCAGTGAATCAAAAACCGGAACCACGTCCACCTGACAGGTCAGAGTGTCATTGCCATCAGGACAGCCACTGATGCCATCTTCATCACCAACAAAAATCTGCATACAAGGAGATGTCATCTTCGTGCTTCCCGCCCTCAATATGAAACGTGTTCGCATGCCCAGCCTGTTCATCAGTGCCGCTTTCCCTCCCTTCGCTGTCACCTCAGCTGTCCAAGATACATTGCGGCTCCTAAACACCGGCTTCTGCGGTAGTGGTGGTCGGCGTCGTCGTGGCGGTAGGAGTGGCAGTAGCAGGTAGCAAGTGGCCGTGGTTCAGTGGTGTGTAGGTAGTAGGTAGTAGGTAGAAGGCAAAGGAAAAGTACATATCCACAAACCGTTGCCGAGACGTCCTATGCAGAAGAACTCACGGAGCGGTGCTTCCACTGCACAAGACTTGCAACCCGAGCACCTTCTTGATGGACTTGCGAAAGACTGCAAGCAGCAAAGCTCTCTGCTCGTTGTTCATGGCACTCCCTGGCCCTGCTCAGCGATGAACAGAGAAAAGCTCCCTTTCAGAAATCCTTCTGAAGGTCTGAGGGACCTATAAGTTTCGGGTCAAGTTTTGCATCCTTCTGAAAATTGTGTGGTTCCGTTTTTCCCGCCTTTGGTGGTGAGGGCTTGGTCCTCGGATTCTGAGGCGTCGGTCTGCTCCTCCCCCTTCGCATCTTCGATGTAGGCGATGCTGAGGTGCTGCTTGAACACTGGCGAGCTGGGCACGTAGCCTAGAGGGAGGAAAAAGAGGTGGAAGTGTCGCAACGCCTGTATATCAATGGCGCGATTGTTGGTAACCTTCTGAATGTGCAAGCTTGCCTGGGCCAGGAAGTTGGGGGATTCGATGCCACAGCTGGGAATCACAGCTACACGACTTATGATCGCCTGACTTGAATCGAAGCCATTGGTGCGAACCCTCCTAGCCGATCGGGGCCTGTCTCTGATATTGAGCACGTTTTCGTGCGTTCTCCACGGCTGCTTGGGAGTTCATTAGCTGCTGCCGCGTCGATAGGGAGCCGTGCTTCTGGTCCGTTTTGTCACTCCTTTGGGGAACAAGCGGGACTAGTCATTATGTTTCCGCATGGGGAAAAAGGCAGGGAGAGAGGGAGAGGGATGGAGGAGACAAAAGGCCCACATTTTGGATCACTTGTTGATTTTGTGCCTGGCCGATCCAAGAATATCCAAGACAAGGCAGCAGCCCTTCTAGGAGCAAACATGGCTTGGGGTACAGTGCTTCCACGAGCCGTGCAATCCCAGCAAACAACGACATCAATGTCAAGTCCTTGAGAGTGGACGGCGGAGAGCTGCCAGAATAGCCCAATTGGGAGGCGAGTCCTTAAAGGAGACACCGTTGTCGTCGAAGAAGTCTTGGATGATGACGTGCTCCGGCCTGGGTGCAGAGCAACATGGGGCGTCACCAGTGTGATCAGGAGCGTGAAGCATTGCTGCATCCATTTTGCAGCGTCATGGCGGAATTTGCTGCCGGGGTGCGGCACATCATCGTCGATGCTGTGTAACGACTGAAACACTGCAAGTGCGGCTTCGAAAGCCTTGGCCTTAGATTTTGAAGAAAACGTAGTCTCGTGAATATTCTTGGTTGCCTGTCCGAAACGAACGAGTGACAAAGGCCTTCCATGCCCTCTTCTCTAACAAACCAGAACTGAGACGAGCAAGGCAGTGAGACGATGGCCGCAGCCCAAAGAAGGCAAGGTGCCTCCTTCGGCTCTTTTGCGCTGCCACGACGGGAGCTGCAGTGCGAAGGTTTTCGCGAAGGATTCAGTGAGCTTGCCTGAGAGCCTGAAACAGACACCAAGTCTCGTGCAAAGCCAAAGCAAGCGAAAGAAACCCGCAGCAAGCTGAAGTCATTGTTTCTCCGGAGGGTTTTGCCAGATCTTGTGTCGCCCATGTGTCTCCACGGGCCTTTCGGTGAGTTCGAGGTAGGGACAGACAGCCATGGCAGCGGAGGCGACATTCAGCAGCCCTGTAGAGATTAGATGACCTGTAAAGTCTCAGCAAAAGTTACGGCTTGCTGGCTCCTGGTCCTGTTGCGAAGCTACGGGCGGGTTTAAGCAATGTCGCAGCCCTTGGCTGATCTGAACTTGCTACGTCACATGATCTACAATTAACCACAATGGTTACAAGAAAGTGTTAGTTTGAGCCGCGGAAACAGGACAATTCTGCCAGTTCACGTAGTACTGCGCAAAGGTTGTTGTTGTTCCAGTTCCAGCCAGCTTGGTTGGCCGAATGGGAGCTGTAGCCGCGCCTTGCCTTCTGGATCCACGGTTGCTGAGCAAGACTTTGCAACTTTGCGAATCTGCTGTCTACTGTGGATACAATATCTATTGCCCTGAAGACAGGGCCTCCCTGCCTTGGTTGCTGCCCCCCCACTAGGTTGAAGTCGCCCCAGCGCGGCGCACGGCAATGGGAGTGAAGTCACCCCAGGCGGGGTGATGTCAGCCCAACAACCAACAACAGTTAAACTTCCCGCAACAACGGCACACGCATTTTGGGAGTAATCCCCACGTAGACGCTCGATTTCACAAACAGGCGCTCAGGAAACACCTCAGACATCAGTGGCATCGCAGCAAACAGCCAATCAAAACCAGCGATTCCGAATGCAGATGCTCGATTTTGCAAATAGCCGCTCAAGAAACACCTCAAACATCAGCCGCATCGCAGCAAACAGCAAATCAAACCAGCCATTCCGCTTACAGATGCTCGATTTCGCAAGCATCAACTCGAGACGCACGTGGCATCACAACATACATCCAAGCTCAAGGAAAGACCACGCACAGTGCTGGATCGCGCAGAAAGTAAAGACTGGATGGGATATGGAGAACTAGCCCAAACCCCGCGGCACATGGAGTTGGGACGACTTAATCCTGCCGCTAGTAGGTCGCGCAGATGAAAATCGGGGAGATTCGTATCACCCCTAAACTTATTGCCCAGACTAATTACGATAGGTGCCTGTAACATGCTAGAATCGCCTTCTTTCCGTTTGGGTCGCCAAGCCAGGCAGATAACTAGATGCAGTCAGTACCCGTCGTGTGGTCCCAAACACCCTTTTATGTGAGCAGCACAGAATCAAGGTCTCCTGCTCCCCCAGCTCCCCCAGACGAAGAATGATAGATACTGCCAGCGAGAAGTATCATCACCGATGAGACAGCCTGGCCCGCATTCCAGCATGTCGATAATGACGTAACATACGTGCCAAGCCAGGCCAAGCCAGACCACGAAGAATAAGTTTCAGCCCCAGAAGGATGGAGCAGCCGACTGGCCGCCTCATCACGTGCTGAGCAGACGCTGCCTGAGCTTGCTTGCCTTGCAGTGCAGTTCAATGGTACAAGGATGCCATCAACCGATGTTCCAGCAAGCTGAACTGCAGCCTCATGCTCTTCATCTGACGTCTCAGGCTTGACGTCTCCAGCTCCCAGCCCAGCACCATGACATTCAAGAGGTCTTCATTCCAGACCAGTTGCCCCTGAAAAGCCGGACTTGTAGGATTCACGATGTGTGTCCGCGGGCCACGTAGCTTGCATTTCAGGTGGCATAATATGTCCGTCTCAAAAACGTGCGCACCGTCAGCACGGCCGAATCCGTCCTCCGTCTTCGCTGGTGTGTTGCTGCATTGGGCATCCGTAACTACAACCCACAGTCAGTCGCCTACGAGTGAAGCATGCGCGTGTGGGAGCACCCAGACATGCATGCCTTTACCTCGACTAGTAAATGCATGCATTGACTTAGATTGACCCGCATCTCGTCCTCAGTCATGCATCATGTGCCAGACGAGCAGGTCTTCACGTCGCCTTTCAGTTCCACGAGCAACCACTAGTACGCGCAATATTAGGTACTGGTAATAAGGGAACACATCCGAAACTACTAGTAGCGTCTTCTGCGTGATCAGCAACGTAGCAGTCTGACACCAGTTTGGGACACTGAGGCCTTGCCTTGGAGAGACCCAGGCCCGCAGCCCATCGCAAGGCAAAGCACCTGAGATCGAGGATAAGCATCCCCCACTTCATACGCCCACTCTATCCAGCTTTTTCCACCGCGCCCTGACTGCACAGCCACTTCCTGCACCTCGCCGACTTGGAACAATGTGGAGTCTGAAGCATCGTCCTCGTGCCGGTGCATTGCTGCACAAGTGCTCTGCAACTGAGCATGAGCATCCGTTGCTGGCAGCTCGCCTCCGCCTTCAAATCCCAAATGCGCAAAGAGTTGTCCGCACCTCGCAGAAATCGCTGCGCCAAGAAATGCCCTCCATGCCAATGCTCCCTCGGCATTGTCTGGCTCAGCCCCCGGCTTCCGGTAATCGCCAGGCCGGACCAGTCGACACTTAAACATGTCACGCCTTTGTCGAAGCCATGGAAGCACATGGAGCGGACGCGTCGGACAGGCCGAACCGCAAGATCAGCCAGCCCTGCCTCCAGTGTGACCTTCGAACTCTTGAACGTCCTTGAGACATGGAGATCAGCAGCTCAGGCGCCGAACGTCGCAGAATAGCATGAGCTCCTCTGAACTCCAGTGCCACAGGCGCACCAGCCCGTCAGAGCTGCCACTGAGCAGTTGGCTGGAAGACCAATCCACTTCCAAACACCTATCGGATCTATCACTTCGCACATCAAACCGAGCAATGGAGCTTCTGCTGGCACCACAGAGGCACAGTGCAAGTTGCAGTTGCCAAGGCCTGACGGTCACATCGTGTGTTAGCACCTGTGTGCAGAGGCGCTGGCTCAAGCACCTCTGCGAGATTCGCGACTCCTGCACCCTTGCTCCGTTCTGTGGACTTGCAACAGGCGGTTCCGGGCGCATGACCATATCCGCACGGTGGCATCTTCACTGGCACTGGCAGCTTTCTGCATCTGCCATATGAGGTCCACCTCAGACTTTGCCGATATCTAGGCTTCAGAAACAGGTACTTAAGCAGCTGTAAACGAAGTGCACACAAAGATGCACCAGCAATCAAATCCAGAAAAAACAAATGTGCAACTACAGCACGCCGCAAACAGCCGCAGTGTGACCTTCGAGCACTGCATCGTTGGCGGCCTCGGGCTCAAATTAAAATCACAGGAAGCAGAACCAGTTCCTAACAAGATGCTACCACCTTACTGAGGGCATGCCAAGAAGCCGTTGACAAATCCCACAACCTGTGGCCAAGGCTATGGCGTTGGGCCAGCGGGAGCTTTCGTCCCCTGCTAGCACCCTACATTTTTACTTACAAGGGGAATTGAACTGTTGCTGTTGGATCTCTAGTCTCCAGTTACTCTAGCTTGCGCTGGCATCCAAGGCTTGAACTCACGATCCTGATGAAGTCTATGTGGCTGAAGTTGCATGCCCAGGGGCCGCAGGGCACGGTCCTCACCACCGGTCAGCGCCTGCCGTGCTGACCAGGCCACGCCGATGCCTTGGAACTGTCGCCCTCCTCCCAAAAAGCAGTGGTCAGTGTTCGGACGAGGTTGCAGGGAATGTGTTGCGGCCCATCCCGAATGCGGACGGCTTTGGTTTCCATTGCTGAATCAGCTAGGTTGCCCCGCCGCTAAGCTGAGGCGAACGACCATGTCAGCGACCAGGGCGAGAAGAAGGGCAGAGCGTTTAAAGGCGGTAATGAGCAGCAAGCCGAAGCAGCTCAGAAACTGCAACTCATGCAACGAAGTTTGTTGAGAAAGAGCACCTTTACCTACGAATCCGCAGCAGCCTGATTTCTCGCGTCACGTGTTAAGTCGCCAGGCAACAGCGTGCACCGCCATCATGACCAGCCAATTGCAATAGCACCTGCAATCATCAAGCATGTCAAGCTCGGGACCGACGAAGCTCTTCTATAAGGCGCACTTTTCACAGACACGTTCATGGTGATCCGAGATCCAGGGCTTCGGGCACACCGCCTCTGCAGTGTCCAGGTTCCAAAGAAGCAGGCAATCGCAACTTCCGCTGAGGCAACGTCGGCCATTCCAATCCTCAACTTCACCGAGTCTTCTGCAAGGCTGAGCTGGGCATGTCGTCGACCGGCCAGCCGCGAATACATGCCATGCGTCTTGCGCAGCTAGGTTTATTGCTGGCGTGCGGCTGCTTCAACACAGCAAACTGCATGATGGTGTCCTTGAAATCTTCGCAGCACCTATCAGAGTTTGCTGAAGCCGTTTAGAGTGCCGCTTGGATCAACTCCGCGAAGTGACAAAGCATGGCCTGAGTCCTCAGAAAACCATCAAGCCAAAGGGGGTTATGGTGCCGCAAAAGTTCCTGTCGGTTAAACCTGAATTATGTTTTTGCGAGCTGGCATGGTGTACAAACTCGCATCGCCATGCACGAATCTGCGTCTCGAAAACAGCTGCTGCCTTTGATGCATGAAGATCCCACAGGATCAGTAGACAATCATCACCACCGGTCCTGGCATGAGCACAGCGGAACACTCTACCAGAATCCACCAGATGCATGATGGGGTGGGTAAAACCGTACAACCGCCTTGAGGCAAGCAGCAATGCGTGCATGGAAGTCCAATCAATCGCCATACAGAAGACAGTCCGATCATACCTTGCAGAAGGCAGCGTCGGGATCCTGTCGACTGAATCTGAAGCCAATGCTTGCGAGGTGCTCTGGCAATTCCTTGACGCAAACGCCACGGCGGAAGACATCGCGAACACGAAGCACCGGGTCCTCGGGTGCGTACGTGCATACCGCAGAAACTACGTGTAAGTCTAGTGTAAGTGTAAGCGTGTAGCTAAATTGCGTACATGCCAGTGTATATTATATAGGCTTTACAGTTTTGACTTCGTGTGCGCGTGTGTGACAGTGCTCGACTGATCTGGTCGTAGTGCACTATACTATACACTGTTGCCATGTGCACCGGTACCCCATCATTATTTCAACAACAAGAAAAAGAAGCCTTGCAACTTGCACAGTTCCCACGTGCTCTGTGCCGGGCGGCTGCCCCTACAGCAAGGACTCGCTGCTGTTCCCAATCCACCTCCAGAGCCGTAATTCTGTGGTTCGGGAGGCAGCGCAGACCTGGGTCTGAAGCCCATGACCAGAAATCCAAAACCTGTGTGTCATCGCTGAAATATGGCCAGGCAGCAGAGGCCTCTTCCGATATCCTGCGCGACGGGAGTAGCGTGAGCGGGAGGTTTCAGTTATAAGCCAGATTTCGACGCAGGTTCGCGGTCCCAGAGTCGCAGGGTGCAATCTGCAGCAGCGCTGATGGCGATGGCCGACGGCCAGTTCACCTCTCATTGACACCATCCGCTTTAACATTGTGAAATTCTTCTGCCAGCGGTAGTCACTGGTCTTGCATGCGACGATCCTACCTTCTGCCCACAGCTTGTTCTTATTGTTATCCCTTTGCTTCAACCCTTCACCAATGCTGAACCAATCAACTTGTGGCACCTAGATTCTGAATCGCAACGCGCAGCTAAACAAAACGAACAACAAACAAGCACATGTTCGTCCATGCGTGTATGGTGTATTAAGTATCTCTCAGTTTCTCGCGTGGTCCACTCCTAGGACTCTCATGCGGCCAAGAAGCTACAAGGCAGCTCACTGCTTCTAAATGTCCACGGAGGACCTTCTGATGCAAAGAAACCGTCGAGCTTTGTGTCTGCTTGGGTTGAATGCCGATGTAAGGCACTCCAGAGATGTCTCGCTTCACTACGAGCTACGAGCCCTGCAAGAAGACTCTGGGGTTGATTCCGCAAGTCGTAGCTGTCTGGTCGCTGCCAAGGCGCACGAAGGCAGCTCCCCAGAATCAAATTCCAAAAACACAGCCTGCCATCCTCGCGCAAGCACAGTCGACTGAAGCTGTTTTGAATGTCGCGACAGCCTGGTCCTCTGCAGTCTGGCCAAATGCTGGAAAGCATCGTCACTGGATGTCAAGGCACTTCGCCCAGCCCAGTCGACTTCCAGCACGCAAACTGCAGAGCCTTCCAACTCCGTCCAATGGCTCTGAAACGGACTGGAGCCGTGATTCAGGAAAGCAGCTATGTGCTTGGATCGCTTTGCGCATCCGAGCGTCTCTGCAGCCTTGCATCTGGCCGCGAGATGTACAAGCTGCCACTTTCGTCTCTAGCTGTAGCAAGCTGAGGTGCCCCAGAGGTGGAGGGTCCCATCAATACCCCCAGCTGCAACCTCCAGCATGTCAGGGTTCACCGACCTGACTTTCAGGGCGAAGTTCGTACTGGCGTGACTTCTCTCGGTTTCCCACGGCCTCCTTTCAAAAGCACCTTGCAGTAGCTTTGCGTCGAGTTGCATGCAGGTGATGGCTGGGCCATCGGGTGAACAAAGCCGCAGAGCCTGTCAAGTCAGGTGCTGGATTGGCCTGGTCATACTCGACTTGAAGCTCAAGACTTCCCACCGGCGACGCACCAAGGATAATTCAGTTGGCAAGACGCAAGCTGGCTCCGGACAAGCAGTGTCCTGTCCTACTTCTTGCGGACAGAGAGCTTCAAGCGGAGCGAGATCCCACAAGACGACACAGCCAGTGAGATCTCCACTCACGGCTTGAAGGTCGTTCCAGTTTGCCTGAGTGTGCAGGCTCAAGTGGCTGACAAGGCTTCCAATGCTTGACCAGACCTGGTGTTTTGAGGTCGGTACGCCCTGCTGTCTGTACAGCACAACATTGTTCACGAGATGGACACCGTCTTCAGCACAAGTGTGTATAGTGTGCTGTCTAGATTACATGAAGGTCGGCAGGTAGCTTCTTTAAGTAGGTGGGCAGGCAGCAGCAAGGAGGTAGGTAGGTAGGTCGATGGGTACAAGTAGGCAGGATGTCGGTAGGTACGCGGCAGGTTGTGGGAGGTAGGCAGGTAGACAAATACGCAGGCCAAAAGCTTGGTGGTAGCCATGCATGTAGGCACGGATGTGTGCAGCTTGTGCTGCTCGCAGGAAGCGCAGCTCTGCGTGGTGGCCGTTCCTGCGTTCAGCAGCTGTGCTTCGCAGGTCCTGGTCCAGGCGAGATCACCCAGCAATCGTTTGCTGATTTCCAGTTGATGACAGGGCCAAAGCGATTCTATAGCCCGACAAGCTGCATCCTTGCTTGCCAGTGACACTCTGTATAATACGATAGTGTTCGCAACCCATCTTGCGCGCACAACATGCAGCTTCCTCTCACAAAGTTACGTGCTCTTGGCTTGCGAGCCCGTCCCAAAGCTGCAAGGACCCATCCATGGCACCGGCCAGGGCCTGCAGGGAGCGCAAATCCTAGGCAGTCCTACTTAAGCATTGACTCGTTTCGTCTGAACCTGTCGGCCGACCCAATCCACGTCAAGGCTGACAGCAGGGCTTGCATGGTCCTCGCTGCAAGCTGTGGGGCACAACGAACCTCTGAGCTCATGATCTTCGAGCAGTCAAAATCAGTCGACGAGGTGTAAGCTAGGGCGGGCTATCTTGGCGCAGTGTTAGAAGGGGTCCATGCTGCTTCCACACTTCCACGATTGCAGGCTGAGTCTCCATCAACTCCTGCAAGATCTCGCCGGTGTCCAGGTCCCAAAGCCTCGTTTCTGAGAAGTTTGGGAAGAGTCTGGGAAAGCGTCTGGGATCGGATTGGGAGGCTTCCTTGGATTCCTCCGATTTTCGTGCATTTCCTCCCGGGGTACTCTATTAACATAACTATACATAACTGGAACAACTGCCCCTATCTGCAACTCCCAGACCATGTGTGCGACGAAGCGAGTGGGTAGCTCTTCCTCATCGGCGCAGAGTCCATCCAAGGCAGACTGACATGTTTGGGAATCGGTGCTCTTCCACGGGGTCAGGTTATGCATACATCCCGCTCAGGGGCGAAGAGGGTGCACGGCTTTGACGTAGACAGGGGCCTGTGAGGCGGGAACAGAACGTCGGCCCGAAGATGCCAGGGTCGTATCAGAACGCTGCCTCCCGGCTTGTTGCTTTGGCCTCTGGCCTTCGAACTTTTTGAATGCATGTCGTCTTGCAAAGGGATAGACTGGGACTGGCCTTCAGATATCTCCGAGGCCTCGGACGAAGTGACCGTGCCCGCACGCGCTTCGCGGCCGTGCCCACAGTGGCTCACTGTCTAACTTGACTTGATTCAGTGATTCAGTTGACAACCTCCAGCTCGTCGTAGTCTTGAGATTCTGCTGCCAGTCTTCTTTGTTTCATCCCTCCGCAGTTCCTCCTCCATAGTCGTAGGCACGGACAAACACAAGCGAACAGCTTGAGCCTGTAGATGCCGGGAAGACTCGACGGGGGGTCCCTACAAAATGCTGGCCGACGGCATCACCTGAATTCACATCTGAACCGCCTGGTCCCAAAACAAGAGCATCCTGCTCTCCAAATGTTTGTGCGTGAGAGAGAAAGAGAGAGATGCCGCTCTACGCACCTCAGCCTACTGGCCTTTCTTTATCATCCGGGCGTGCACATGGCGAGCGCAAGAAGCTACCGTCCAGCCAGGCCACAGGAGCGTTTGATCCAGGCTGGCCGACAAAGCAACATTTGTCTCCCAGTCTGCCGACAGGCACTGAACCTTTTCTGACAGGCTTACTTGGTTTTTTCACTTCGGCACACGTGTCACGAGATTTACGTACTATGCAGTCTTGCATTGAAGTCACAGCCTAATGCAATGTCCTAAGTCCCAAACATCTGCTCTTCTAAGCGAGGGTCCACGAAGGGTTGGTGGGTATGGGGGGCCCCATGCAGCTTCTAGAGACCGAGTTGCCGCGTCCAGATGCCCACGCCTGTTCAGCAAGATACTTCGTTGGTTGGAGCTTAAGAAGTTGGCAATGTCAGTACTGCATCCGGGGGACATCTCCAGCAAGCACTCGCCAGTCAATCGCCACAGCCTGTTGTGATTCGAAGGCAATGAGAGACATCAGCCGCATACAAGACTTTGGTGCTGGCACACAAGTCGTCTTGAAATGAAGGACGTTCAAATCTTTGGAGCAGAAAAGACTCTGATTTCTGACGAAGGCACTGTACAGAGCGGTCCCTGCTGCCCGTGAGTGCCCGTTGCGAAGGCCAATGCACGGATATGCAAAGGATAGCCGACCTAGGAAGGACCAGGGTAGCATAGCTTCAGGCAGCTGCGAGCTGAAGTGTGTGTCATCGAGGAGCGTGTGCCCCACCAAGTCGCAATCAGCCTGACCACGGTCCAGATCCCAAAGGCGGAGCCTGGGAGCTAGTGTTCTGGCAAAACACGATAAGCCACGGCAAAGCAGAATTCAACCTAGTCTGGTATGTCTTCCCCGCTGCTGTGACTCATGGTTTTCAACTCTTGTGTATGCTACCATAGGTTTGATGCTTTCACTTTCGCTTTGCTGTGTTGGATTTATGAGGGTTCTTGTCCCTCATGCATCTGCTCGCCTTGCTTTTGAGGCTCGCCTTGTCGTTCTTGGCCTTGCTTTTCCTTGGTCTGCGGCTTTTCGTGCCGTTACAGACAAAACTGTTGTATTGCAATTCCTTTCCATGTTCGTTTGCATTGTCCGGGCTTTCCACGGATAGCCCGCAGACGACGAGACAGCAGTAGTCTTCAGCTCCAGAAAGTCGCAACCGGCGAACATGGGTCGACGCGTGCGCACGTGCAGAATATGATGCTGCAGGATGCTGCCGGCAAGCCTTCGGTCGCTTCCGCCGCTGAGAGCTAGACGTCGAAGAGTTCGAACACAAACCAGACGAAGAGCCTGACGCTCACGAGCTTGCGTGCCCCGCTGGGTAACATCATCCCAGTCTTAAGCATGCATGTTAAGCGCGTACCGATAAGTACCTTTTCTCAATACCTTTCAAACACTAAGTACGAGTATGGGCACGCCTCATCGGATGCCAAAGCCTGGAGTAGCTCGGCATCGTCCAGAGCCCGCGTGCCGTGAAGCAGCCGCTGCTCCTGCAGCCGCCCGGCACCCGTGGCCCAAGTCCCAAGCAAAACCCTAGGAGCTTGCCTTATGCAGACTCTATATGCTGCATAATGTCGCGTCCCCGTCTGATGTTTCGCACTCGATCAGATGCAAGGCACCTGATCTGGCACTCGCAGTTCTTCTAAACGGGCGCGTTGGCCCGCATGGCTGACTGCGGCCTTCATCCGTCTACTATCTGTCGCATCTACCGTGCGAAAACTAGCTGGGAAGCCTGAAGTTCTCAAGCCCACAAGACCCAGAAGTGAAGAACCCGCAGGAACACGAACCAAGAGAATCCAAGCCGCGAGCTTAGAGAAGCCAACTAGAAGCCAGAAAGACAGCAAGGCTGGCAAATGCAAAAGTGCCGGACCACATTTAGACTAACAAGACCTCCATGGACGCCCTCTATTGTGTGGTGTGAACCCGGCTCAGCTGCCAAGCCTGCATCAAGCATGCCCTGCTTCCCCTGCTGTCTTCACCGGCCATTGGCCGAAGCGCAGGCGACAACCGGTACAGTAAGCACTTGGAGTGCAGTCCTCGACTTGTCCCAACTTTGCTTTGAGCTCTCGCACAGTAAAGCATCCCGGCAAAGAGCCAGCCTTAAACAAGGGAGTTTGCTCTGCAACTTCGGGCGCACCTAGTGACTTACGGGACCCGTAGATTGAGACACTTAGTTGTGATGCTGTGGTTACTTTTCAGAACCCGGACGAACGCTTTTCCGAGCACCGGGGCAAGAACAAGCATGTTACAACCAAAGACTGAGATTAGACTCAAGGTTGTATAGGGATTCTGTCCCGACACAGTGCTCACAAATTGGTAGTTACGTCGCACCCTCGGGCCAAACCAGCCTCCCCGGCAGAGTGGCAGAAATAGATGCAATAGCATACATGCTCAAATGTATCCTGCAGGACAAAGCGCGAAAATAACTGTGCCGCTGACCGCGACCACCTCCACAGTGACGGCCATGGGGCCAGGACACATGCCAGCGCATCGGGCTCGCTGAATTAGAGAGGCTTCCGTGAACTTGTGAACATACTGAACGTGTCCAACATTGCGCTCAATTTCGGCCTTGAGCCAGATGTCAAGTCTCAGCCTGCGAAATGCAGCTTTGCGGGCTGAGCATGGGACTGCAACCTCCAGTTGTTTAGTTGGCGTAGCTAGTGCAAACCATGTCAATCTAACTACTGCACCATTCGCCCAAAACCATGCCAGCCAGGACTAGTTCTCCAGCCTGCAACAATAGACACTCTAGAGGCCTGCTTTTTTGTTGACACCTCGCACATGGCAGGGATGCGAGCTCGAATCTTAACCTAGAGTCGCAGAGCTGGCTCTGCAAGAAAGTATGCTCATTTGCAGGAGGTGAGACAACGAGGATCGCGGGCCATGTCAAACTTAAGTTGTACCGACTCCAAGCTATGATAGAGTCTGCACTGTTCATCCAGCCTGGCCCGGTCTCCTGTACTTGTGGCTTGAGCCTCCTCCTCAAAAGTTTTCCAGCGAAAGGCGGACCTTGAAAGACAGGACACGAACATGAGATCAGAGGCCCTTCGATTTCTTGCAACCGAAGGATTAGTCACGATGAGGTCGTAATCAAGCCGCCTTGCTTGCTGTTAGATGCATCTTTGCAACTTTCTTGCTCCTGGGTCAGGCGAGACAAGCTAGATGACCAGGGCTCTTATGGTTCCAAAAGGATTCCAATAGGTCAGAGCACCCCACCCCGGGCCCCACCCCTCTTCTCCTGACCAATCTTCACGAATCCATGGGCAATGGAAACAAATTAGGCAAGTCCAGTCATGGCAAACCTTGCGACCGTTGCTCAGATCGCCCCACTGTCACCGAGGATGTCGCGAACTCTCAGGAGAAGCGGCCGGCGGCATTGATGACCTGGGAAGCACCAAGTCTGGTTGCATCCAGTGCCCGGAAGCCCCGATAAATCATCGGCCCTCGCCTCGCCCCACCACGTGAGTCCCTTTTTCACAGCCACTTTGGCCGTTCTGCTGGGTCATGGAAAATCTGCGGGGAACCTTCGGCCGAGAATGCTAAAATCTTTGAGCATCGCTCTTGGCCAGGTCTGCTCTTTTTGCAAGACCTCATAAACTCGTCAATTATGAACTTCGATGATCAAGCGGGACCGAAGCTTCAATCTGGTAGTAGCCTGTCCAGCCATGGCTTAATCGCAGCTAGCAGACGGGGTCTCTTTCTTTCGCTCTCCCTCTCTGCCAGTCTTGAGGGGCATACAGTCCAGGGCACTGCGCGTTTACATGCAGAGGGCCCTCTGTTTGTCTCTGCCCCTGTCTTCCGGTTTCAGGATCTCAATGGATCTCATGCTCGAGCGAGCCGATTGGATGTGGCGCCTCCTGCATCTGCCTTCATCCGGCAAAGCTCCAAACGATCCACAGCAACTGGTCCAAGGTCGGTGTCTCGGAATTCCTGCACAATGCGGAAGGACTTTGTGTTTAGCTTTCAGAGTGTCTGCCAGCCCTGTCGCGAGCATCCAGAATCCGGTTGCCTGGCCTGCCAACAAGCTTTCGGAATCCGCGCTTTGCCGTGAGCTCTGCTGGTCTTTGCCAGTTTCACGTGCGGATGGAAGCCTGATGTGCACCAGAAGCGAGCAGGCTGTACAGCTGTGCGACGCCGAGTCGTGCGAACTGAGGCTTCTTTAAGTGCTGCTGAGAAGCCCTGCCCGACCTCACTCAAAAGAGCACTCAGTTGCCACAAAGTGGACAAAAGCCGCAATTAGCACTTTGCATGTCAACGAAAGCAGTACAATCACACTGCATAAAACAGTGCATGCCGGCATGGCCCGACACAGAACTCGCTTAATAATTCACTGTTTTTGCAAAGCTTATGTAAGCCGAAATCTGAAAAAATGCTGCTCTTCCCTGCCTTCATGGCGGTTGAGTCTAAAGTGGGGTCGCGATTAGGCGCAAGACCAGGCCTCGTCGGCCGTCTCGCTGTCGGTCGTGTCGATGCAGGGCTCTTCAACTGGCCTTAGCTGCCATGGGCAGCTACCGCAAAACCCGAGACCCTTTTTATTTATGCATCCTGGCCTCTTCGAACTGCCGGTTACCCCTACAAGATCAAACCAAGAAATTCTCACGAATCGTGCCGCCATGCATCTTGCGCAAACCCGAATCCCTGACTCCCAAAACCCTCGTTCCTCCGAGGAGCCAAAGGCACCGGCCGCTCTTGATCTCCACCACGCGTTGGAAAAGAGCCGGAGGTATTCTGCCAGACTCATCCCCACGCGTAAGAATCTGAGCGGGCGGGGCGGCGCTAAGACATGCTGAGACGTCTTCTCCACTCAAGGAAACAGTCGTAATTCCACGTTGTCAAGCTGAGTCAAGCTCATCTGAAAGTCAACATCAAGCGACCACATCGTTGGCGGAGCGGTACAGCTTGATTCCCTGCTCGAGCGCCTTTGGCACGTCCAGGTAGATGGCCACGGCACAGTCTGGGCTGAAGCGATTTGTGCCATTTCCAGCGGAAATGGCTCGCTTATGCGGCTTGCAGCTTGACAACGCGAGCTCCCCCATGCCAAAAGCACGTTCACGACCAAGAACACAAATCGACACACAAAATGAACCCCACCTATATCTACGTAATTATGCTTTAACTCGAGAACATTCTTCGAAGCGTGCCCGGAACGGGATTCTCACTACCACACGATGCCGAAGATTGAAGCCTGACAGTCTGACAGACCCATCCTGCCTTCTCGCATTCCGCTGATGACCGTGCGAGAACCAACCTCTCGAGCATGTCGCAGAAACGAGCAGCCGCGTCTCTCTCGCATCCCACTTTAACGGACCAGTGGATTAATTCCAGCAGAAGAAAAAGGCAGCGCAAAGTATGTATTGTGATCTGAGACTCCCGTGGAATGAGTCCGTGGTCCGTGGATTTTGCAGGCCAAGTGAAATAGATAGTTTTTGTGCTTGCTGAAGGTCCTCTCGAATGCTCCACGTATCAAAGCAATGCGCTATCATGGGATGTCTCCCATCGATGTCACAAGCTTGTCACCCAGAGGCGGGTCTAAAGAAACAGACTCCATTTGGCCTCTCTCTCTCTCCTTTGTTCGACCTCAACTCTCGTTGACTTCACAGCCCGGCCTCATGGGGCACGAAGTGTATGTGGTTGCGTCCCATCGGCTTCAGCCCCTCCTGCTTGATTTGGCTCCAGACTTGCACCTGGCACTTCTTCTTCGGGCTCCACTTCGTGAAGTAGGTTCCATGGATACCTCACTGGATGCAAGCTCCCGATCATGGATTACAGAAGGGAAGCTTGACTGTGCAAGAGTGACTTTGCCGCAGGATACAGACAGGAAGATCTTCCGCACGTTGGACGGGCTGCAGCAACTCCGAGTCCACCACCTGTAAGTTGAAGCTGTAAACCCATCAAATTCTGCGCATGTTTCCTCAGGCAAGGGTGACGTGAAACTCGAAGGTCTGAATTGCCGTGCCTCCTTCATCTTGTGGCCCTGGCTCGCACGAATACGCCCAGCACCATCTTCTGTCCACAGCTGGAAGCGCTGCTTGTTGTTGCAGCGAACTTCCGCCTCCACATCTTTCCTTGGCAGGCACAGGTGGGCGCACTATGGAACCATCTGGGAGTCGTTTGGCTATTCTGCTGTTCGGGATGAACACCTGACCTGACAATTTGCAACCTGAAGGGAAGCAATCCTTAACATGGCCCATTTAACAGCTGGGGCAAGCTGCTCCACAAAGCCGTTTGACTTGAAGAAAGGCAAGGCGAGCAATTCCTGAGACATGAAAGCCAACCGCCAATCGCTTCTATCTCGGGTCCACAGGCCCTGCTCGTTCTGTTCTTGCGTGAAGCTGCTTTGAAAGTACTCGAAAATGCATCAGTCAGGTCGGTCCTGCAGCCCCACAGAACCATCACTTCGCAGCGCTAGCCCGAGCCGCACGGCATCGTGACGGAGGACGCGCCTAGGAGCCCAGCAAAAAGGGACATCGACATGTTGTTCCTTCATTCCCATGCTGCACATGGAAGCCTTAAGGTTCTCCAGCAGGTTGCAAGCATGCAACTGTCGTCGTTCGGTGTGCTGTGCAGCATGGAGCACCGCTTCTGCCCAAGGAGTGGTTTGCAACTCAGGTACTTCATGGTACTTCCCAGACGCTCCTTGAATATGGCTGCACTGAGCCATCGACGTCAGGTACCGGCTGAGCTTCTCGTTGGATGCGGTCGTGATCTGCTCCTCGATTCGGGAGCTCTACGCAACTAAAGCAGCTCGAAGACAAAAAAGCTGCCTGCACAATATTTAATTAAAGGGTTCGACAGGTGAGACAAGTTTTTTAAGGCAGCTCCTGGTCATTCTGAACCTGCTCAGGTTCCGCGACCTGTGAGGCGGGTGAGGTGCTCGGCGGAACTGCCCCTGCCACGGCACAGCAGGCTGCATGCTCTGTGCCCGATTCGGCCTGCATTCGGATGGGCGCCTTCGCCCGCAAGCATCCGCTCCTGGATCCGCCTGTGCAGGGAGCGAAGGCTGGCTTCGTCCTCCGGCCGCACTTTGGCAAAGAGAACCTCGCCACAGCCGGAGCGGTTCAGTTGTCCTAGTGACCCGGTTTTGTCCTGGGCATCGGGCCGCGTCACCGTCTGAGTCCAGGCCGCTAAGGCGAAAGTTCAGTGGCCCTGAGAGGGAAATTGTTGAAAGCAGACTCCTCTGTGGAGCATTGGAGTTAGGCGCTGTCACTCGCTAGGCACTCTGGGGAGTATTAGCGAGGGGCACGTGACACGTGTCCGTGCTTACACGTCTCTCGGCTCTGGAACTGCGGAGAGCCGTGGTCGCCCGCTCCACCGGGCCATTTGGTCAGACTGGTTCGGGGTCACTCGGCATCTGGTGCGTACATCTCCTACGGCTACGGGTCGCTGAAAGACTACCTTCGGAACAGCCATTTGATCACGTGCTCGACTCCAGGGCTTGTCTTAAGACTGGCTTGACACGAAAGGTGCCGTCACCCTGAGTTTCAAACGATCATTCAGTTCAGCGATCTTAGAGGTCCACCAACAGTTTCTGCATCACTTGTCCAGGAAGTCAAAAGCGACATGCTGTATGTGGTGGTAAGCAAGCCAATTCACGTTGCCTGCCAAGGGGTCCTTCTTTGTAACCGAAGTGCTGCTGAGGCTCCAGGGTGTTCTTTGGCAAACTCGGCAGCGGCATTGGCTAGACCAAGCTTGGCAGCCTGCGGCATGCTACGCTCCGATTCAACGGAAACTCTGCGCCTTCAGTGCAGCAGGCTGTCGTAGCAGCTCATGCAATTGCGACAGGGGAAGGCGCACATCGACCCACCTCCACGTCCTGCTCCGACCGCAGTGTGAGAACCGCCAGTGTAAGGTGCAGCTTCTGGGCAGGCATTAACGACCTGCAGCAGGCGCTTCTTCGCCCTATCCCCAACTCTGCTAGTCTGCCAGAGTCGGCCTCTGCAGTCCCTGCTGTACTTGCCCATGGGCTCGGCTGACAAGCTCCTGCAGCTACCGCGATAGAGGCTAGTGTGGCCTGCATGATGCCACTTGCATGGTCAACACACGCTGGAGCGAGTGCCAATGGCGGTGCAAACAATGCTCTTCTTGTGGCCTCTTGCAGCTTGCAGGCTCTTTGCTGTGCTTCCTCGCCGACCTTGGCAGAATGCCCGCTGTGACAGGCATGACAGGCCACAGGACACTGGGCTCGCTGAACCTCACCTCGTGAGACTGCAGACACAGGCGAGCTGCCCTATTCAGTCTTGCAGGCCAGGAGCGCGAAGCGCGACCAAATGCGAAGGTTTGGCCACCTGTAGGAACACACACAAGGAAGCTCAACGCCCAGCCAGCATCATCCTTGAGAAAAGAACCCAGGCCCTGCACAGGACGTCATCTTTTATCATTCTCGTCTTCCGAAGATCCTGAAATCCAACCTTTCGTCGAGGCTTCGGGGCATCCCGCCGCTGGCTACCTGGCATAAGCGTGCCACGGCGCCGTTCACTGGTCTACGAATCCATGATGTTGATATCGGGCATGTGCTTGTTTGTGCCTTGCTTGAATCTAGCGATGACCTCCCCCGTGATGTGATTCTGACGACCGGTGACGGTTTTCGAAATTACCGAAGTCTCCGTGTTGCAGCACACATCAAGCACTTCCATCAACTTGCTGCTCATGCCAGAATCCCAGAATGCCCTAGACCCACTTCGACAATGCCCCCTCCATGATTGATAGCTGCAGGAGCTCCTGGACGAAGCACTGCTGAAACCGTCACGCAGCCAGCCGTAACCATTACTATTACTGATGAGGCTGATTGGTACTGACGATAGTCAGTTCTACTACAACTACTAACTACTACCTGCCACTACCACTACTAAGTACTACTATGCCTTCGACTACGACTACGACAACGACGACGACTACGGCTACTGCCGATACTGCTACTGCTACTGGCTCTGCTGCTGCTGCTGCTGCTACTTCTACTTCTACTTCTACTTCTACTTCTACTTCTACTACTACTACTACTACTACTGCTACTACTACTTGTAGTAGTAGTAGTAGTAGTAGTAGTAGGAGTAGTAGTAGTAGTAGCAGTAGTAGTAGTAGTAGTGGTAGTGGTAGTGGTAGTGGTAGTTTTAGTAGTAGTAGTAGTAGTAGTAGTAGTAGTAGTAGTAGTAGTAGTAGTAGTAGTAGTAGCCGTCGTACTAGTAGTAGTGGTACTCGTGCTAGTACTGGTACTGTACCAGTGCAAGATTATTTTTCTTTACTCCCCTAACTGCTACTTCTACTGCTACTCCTGTTGCTACGACGACGACGACGAGGACAATTACTACTGCCAGTAGCCAGTACTACTTCTAAATTTTGCCATGGCCAGCGACCTGGATGCAAAAGGACTCAGGGTTTGATGTGGACCCTATTGTGCGAACCGCAAATGCTTGCAAAAGTGTTGCCAGCTTAGCACTTCAAACAGTTATGGCTAACGGCTAACAGCTGCGGTAGGGAAACTGCACCGGCGCGAACATGCCTGTCTACATTCTCGAAGTCGATGTACCAGACTACAGGCTGCTCCAACGCTGACTCTTTCATTTCCTGAGGATGCTCCCGTGTGCCCCGTCCCTCGACGCACAGGATAGGGTGGCCACAAACGGAAAATAACTAGAACCTGGACTTTGCTTCAATGTTTCCAGCCTCGTCCGCCCTTACCAGCAGCACCGCGCCGTCGGAAAAGCAGCAGAGGTGTGGCACAGCAAGTCACACGGCTCAGCCTCACAGAAGAGCTCCCAACACAAACGCAATGCACGCAGCGAATCTCTACTATAGTTTCAGCAGCAGCCATGCATCACGAACCCCAACAAGTAGTTGAGAGAGTAAGTACACCCATGCGTTTCGAAAGAACCCTACCGCCGAGACCTGTGCCAGATCCATGGGCCCCATCCTGAGATGCAGTTGGGTTCGTTGTTGGAGACTGGATATTAGTGCTGCTATTAGTACTAATATTTTTTTGCCTCCTGCATGGCTGAGTACACGAAGCAGGGCAACAAGTCCATAGTCTGTAAATTCCAGCTTGAGTGTTTCAAGCATGACATGCATCCTTCAAGCCATAGACAACTTTATCCATGGCAGCCCCGCTCCTCAAGAGTCTTCGGGAATTAGGTCTAAAGGTCAGCAAACGGCCGTGAATTCCCAATTACAAATTCCTAAATCAGGCAAGACCGACATGAATTCATCACAAGCAAACGACCTAACTTCGCCATTCAAGTATCTGCCGACTCACGCAAGAAAGTTCGCATCCGCTGCAGGTTGTCACATCACGACTAACAAGACAGCTGGTCTCAGCTGTGTTGTATGTCGCGACAGTAGATCGCACATGCGTCCACAGTACCGCAGCAGAATAGACGGCAGAACAGATTATCCTTCAAGTACTCACATGCATGTCCAGGATCCCCTGATGACAGATCCAGAAACCAAAGAGGAATTTGAAACCGGCCAGGCAGAGGTATCAGAACACGTGCCTTGATGACACATCCAGAAGCCAGTGATGAAACTTAAACTGTCCAGTCAAATGTAGCAGAACACACCCAAAATCACATGGCAATACTGCAGTTGGTCTGGGAAGGCAGCTATGCATCATTGTCATTCGAAGCCCAGACCAGCATGTACAGCGTGGGAACTGACTCCAGTACATTGTCTGCGTATGTATCAAGCGAGTTTTGCAGTCCAGCCTGTATCCAGAGACAGTCATATCATCCGCCATTGGATTCCAGATAAAATGACTAAAGGCGGGGCACTTCTGGTTTTGTTTAGATTTGGGCCTGCCAGCAATGGGAGTTCAGGAAGAAAGCATCATTCCAGCAACATCAGTGTCAAACAGCTTCTATGAAGATTCCCATGGCGACAGATCAGACCAGTGACTCAGACAGATAGTCCAACTGAGGCAAGTTAGCTGCATTATTTGTCTGGATTTATGTCACCCAACAAGTGTAGACGAAGCGCCAGCCGTCAAATAAATGTCATCAGAGCAGCAGAGGGGAGCCATTGGATCAATATGGGTTTTTGCGCCACAACTGGTCCCATTGGCAAATACAGACAAAGCATCCACGTGAAGATAGGCGTGTACCTTTTCCGGTCAGTGCCAGCATTAGCCAGCGGTGCCAGCAAAGGAGTGTTCATGGCATCCGATGAAGCAGGTATCCACGACAGATAGCCAAGAAAGCTACGACCATCCAAGCAGGTCGAAGCAGCCATGGGGTAAATTATGCGGCGCCGGGGTGAAACATGTGAGTGAGGTTCAGCGACAGGAGAAGGGAGTAGTGACCAAGGGTACAGTAAAAGGACCAATAGCAATTTCCGAGTTCTCAAATACAGGGGAATCAGTTAGAGGACTCCAGGTTAACCTCTACATGGGGTCCATTTAACTCAAAAACCCGAAACCTAGACTACCATATTACTTTGGCAGACTGGGTAGAGTAGGATACAAGATTACGAACAAACCATTCCCGAGGCCACTTCAGCAGTCCAGCATGCAGCAGGGGTGAGCAGCAGATTTGGAGTGTGACACATCATCTGCAGTGCAGCATTCACGTCATTGACGTTCTCTCAGTCAAACTCTTCTGTCTCCAGGCAATGAACCTATGTCACCAGAACCCGTCCAAATCAGAAAGCTCACAGAAACGGACTAAACATACCGAAGACACATTCGGTATCTCAGCATCCGAGATCCCTGAACCCGAAGAGCACAAACCAAGAGTGTATTTAATCAATATAATAAACCACTTCACCCGTCTCCCACAGGGTGAGACATGGTGTTGTAGTGGTATCACGGAATTGAAACTGTTGTTGTTGGAGTCTGGGCCGTTTAGGTACAGGGTCAAATTGCTGTTCAGGCTGCCAGTGATCAGGAATTGAGCTCTCTAGGTCACGAGGCGAAGGAACCGCAAACCCCAAATCACTAAGTTGCTGTTGCAGGCTACTGGGGAGGCTTCGAATGTGAATCACCGTCCACGCAATTAGCACAACTCGCGGTACGGAATTCTCAACATGAGCACTAGCATGAAGCAGCAGCTTCCGAGCATCAAAGATGACAGGATTGTTGTGGGCATGAATGTTAAAACCATTGACAAGAGATCCTAGGTGTTCACGCGCATCTGGGCCATCCTGTGTGCAATCCAGAGGCCACCGCCTTCACAGGCACTCAGAACCTGAAAAAATGTGCCACACGGACCGTTCCTCGCATCTCGATGGGGTTCCCTGGGATTGTCCTCCCTGACTGCCAATGTCGTGAAACGGAAATCGGGCTGAGATTGCCTAATAAATGCAGTCAGTAGTCTTGTCATGTAGGGGTGATTCAGGGATCCCTGCAAAAACCAATATTAGTAGTAGTATTTGTATTTGTATCATGGCGGTAGATTTCTGACAGCTCAGACACTCTAACGGGTGCTCTTATCGTCGGCCAAGAAGCCCCACTGGCGATGCGAGGTGAGGCCGCCCGCCAGGACACTGCCGGGAGCCCATGGAGGCTCCACCCACAGCACCTGCCCATCAAAACCCAAAGCCAGCCCAGTATTCGTCCCCAAAACAAAAGCTTGTAAGGCGAGGAAGAGTTTATTCACATTGTACCAATTCATACTCCTGGCCCATTCGTCGACGAGCTTCATGTTGGCGACATTTTTTGCAGAGAGATTGCGACTTTCTAACCGAGGCAAGTCAGAAACACAGTCTCAGACAGCCGTAAACGACAAATTCTGCAAGAGGTCCGTAACCAAGGAGAGCAAGACGCCTTGGACGTTTCAGGGACGACTGTGTTCATGCAGTGTGACGCACTTTAGAAAGGGACTCCCCAGCGGTCAACTTGAAGACTTTGTCGATGACCGAACACACATCGAAAGAGAGAAACACAAGAGAGAGAGAGGGACAAACAGAGAGACAGCGTGAGCGCATAGCAGAGCACGGAGAGCAGAGGAGAGAGAATTGAACAAGATGGACGCCAAGGCCAAAACAGAGAGGCAGAGACACAAACACACACAGCCAGATGCAGAGAGAGCGAGAGAGAAGGAGAAAGAGAAAAAGAGAGTGCAGCGGGGTTGGGATATAATGCCGTGCCTGGCCAGTCGGGGAATCTGTCTCGGTGAGCTCCCGGAGGTTTCCGCTTGGCGTGTCCGCAAACAGGCGCCGTGGCTTCCAGACCTGTGTCTCCGGGTTTGCGTCTGTCCCCTCTGCATGCATTCGGCTTTCAATGTTCAAAGTGATTCAATGCCCTTGTTCAGAGTCGCGGCGTGTGACTGTTCTCTCGGTGGAAGATCTTCGGACTTAGTCCGTCTTTTCTGAACCCAAACATAGAGGTGCAACCCAGTCGGCGTGTACTGTTCCGCGTTCTTGGGGTTGGTGCATCACAACTTCATGCTTCCTTGAAGACTTTGGGGTCACAGTACAGCAACTGAGCAGTGATCTCAGGGCTCCACGTTGCCGCTCTCTGGATGCACGAAGCCAAGGGCTCTGGCTGCAGTCTCTTTCAGGGCCTTGAGCTTTGCATAAACAAGGACGGGCTTCTACGACAGAGCAACCATGCGCAACCTGTGCCCTCGTACCGACTACATGCACATTATGTATGTACTGTATGTGTATGTGCTCATTGTGCAAATGGCTGTAATATGCATATGTATGTATCTTTAGATATACCAGAATGCACATGCATGCATGTATTCGTTCTGGTATGTGCAAAACCTCCATCACCCAGGAAGCCCAACAAGCTCGAGCTTCTAGACTTACAGGACAACGCATTTGTCTACCTGGCGCAAACCAAAGGGGCAGGTGCAGGGCGGGCAGCATGAGCAGAATGACACACACGCGCACACACACACAGACTTTAGGCATTTGCTTATATCTGTGTTCATACATTAGCTGCCGCAGCCTGTTGCTTGGTTCAACGGCGGGATCAGGCGCGGGATGATGGCGAAGCTAATGCATCGATGAGTCACGTGCGGAAAACAAGCGCTAGCCTAAAGCAAGTTGCGACCCAAAACTTGTCTAACAAACCCCAAAGCCCGACATCCATCCAAGCTACAGTTCTGCCGTGCTGAAGGTCCACGTTATTGCAGGCGATATATTGCCACTGTTTGCCAGTGCTGAGGGTCACTATACGTGTGCATACATACTTGTACTATAGATGAGGATATTTGCTACGTGTATGTGGGTATAAATATGTGACATGTGTGTTTATTTGTTTATGTAATTTATACATATGTGTGTGTACACATAAACAGACAGATAGATGTACCGTATTGTGTATAAGACATGCATACATACGCGCATACATGTATACATACAGCTACATACGGACAGAAAGACCGGCAGCCAGCCAGACATGCAGACACACATGCAGATCAATATGTCTGTGTGCTTTTGCGCGCGTGCGTGTGCGCGTGCGTGTGTGTGAAGTAGAGATCCTTCAAGACAGTGATACCTTCAGCGACTTCGGCGCCGAAGACGCTTCAGCCACGCCGGGCTCGGGGCCACGCAGACCCAGGACTCCGAAGCGGCGCATGGCACTCGGTCACCAACCAACAAGCAATCCTTCTTATGTGCTGGGATATGTAGCTGTCACCAGCATCCGCATCAACATCGTCAATCCTGCTAGAGCTGAAAAATACATATTGCATCTTGGCTGTGCATGTAGCAGGTCTTTGTTTGTTAGACTGTCGGGCACGCGACAGCCGTGCCAGCAGTTCTCAAGCTTTCGGCGCTCATTCTCGGACAATCCAGGCGAGGCATATGGTTCGAGGTCTGTTGAGTGAGACTGAACTAAGTTGGGAGACAGTTAGTATCTCAATCTGCTGAATTCACAGCAACTCTAACAAAACAAGCTTCTCTCTAAATCACTTCCTCTCAATCTTCATTTAGGGTCTGCAGCGTCGACGGTGAGACCACGTTGCACGCCGACTGTGCAAATCTATGGGCTTCACATGACACGACCCAAGCCGCGATGCAAGGCTTTTTTCGATTATGGCGGGCCGGCGAAGGCGGATGGCTTTTCCGAGGCCTCCAGGCCAACCAATCGCTCGCTCCTTGGCAGAACATTTGCAGGTTTGGCTCCTCTTTAACCTGACATCCTAAGTCTCACGGACTCTGTTCCTCAAAGTGGAAACCAAATGCTTTGCCTGCCGAGGATCTCCCTCCAGAGGTCTCGCCAAGTCTCCGTGTCATAGGATGTGGCTGCCTTCTCCGGCGGAGCAACAGCCTCTGAAGCAGCGGTGTTGCGGGTGCTGCAGACGAGACGCAGGGACTTAGGAGTGTAAAAGCAAGCCTTGAGAAGCCTGGACAGAATGCGAAGAGCCCGCAGAGGTGGGGGTAGAAGCCCCTGCACCTCGCAAGGACAAGTTAAGCGTTCGCCCAAATCCAGACCAAACATCCGCTAACATGGCAACGAATTCATTGGCGGCAGGATACCTCTGTGTCCAAAGATGCCGAAGGACGACCGTCCTCCAATGCAGAAGTACGAAGCTCCCACCAAGGCAAAGGGAAGGCCTTGAACCCATCACTTATAACTTAGAGTAAGATGTACGTGTAGGAGGTCATCTCGCGCAAAGGTCCTGCCAGTAGTACCCTGAGAGCTTGCCTTGCTCCGAGGTGGCCAGCAGCACCGTGGTTCGGGCACCTGTGATTTCCGTCCATCACCGCAGAAAGGGATACTGCAACGTGCCCAAGACTCGCCATCCCAGAATCACGGACGAATGTCCAAGATCAGGTCTAAGAGTTTGGCTTCAGCGCCTTCCTCCGGACTCTGCACGATGAGGTCCAGCAAAGGCTGGACTACGGACTTCAGAGCCTGGTAGACTCCTGGCAACCGGCTTGGCCCTCACGACACGACTCTTGCGCGAAGCCGCAACAATCGGGCGCCTTCCAGTGGCCCTTTGTCTTCCTCCTGGTTTTGCGGCAAGTGCCGTTTCAGCTCGGTGGCCACAGCTCCTGTGCAGGCACCAGGCGAGCCTCATGCCAGCATCTGCAACTACCATAAGACAAATTAAATTAGAAGGTGGCCTGCCCAGTGATGCATTCTAACCAATTTTTAGCATGCACTCCCGCTCTCTTCCGATCTTGAACTTCGTTTCCGGCAGCCTGGATGGATGGCATTTGAGGCAATGGGGATGCCACCAAATCGACAACGCCGATCCAGCTCGTAGGCAAAGAGCAAATTGCACAGCTTCGCTTGGCCGTAAGCCTGTGGAGCAAGAAGCCGGAAGACTTCGAGATGTGCGTTCCGTCTCGCACTATGGGAGTTAATCTCTAAAGCTATCTTGCAGATGTGAATTTGCGTGGAAGGCCCCCGCACGAGCCTGCCATGGAGCGTACTTGCTGGCCGACTGCAGATCACTCAAATCACCTCTCTGGAGTGCAGAGGGGATGAGATGAGCCGACGAAGACAGGCTGATAATGCGACCAGGATCTCCTGAGGCACGATGCTTGCGTAACCGCATAACCCACCCACGCCAAACGTCAAGCTTGTGCACGACTCACAGATCGCTTCACGAGATGAAACTTAACCAAACTCAGCATCTGGGTGAGGCTGTCGCCGCCATGTGGTCGACGAGCAAGTTTGCAAGTAGGAAGTGGCCCAGGTAGTTGACGGCCAGCTGGTACTCATGTCCATCAACGGTCTCCTGCCTACCACAAGGTCATGTTGGCCTAGATGGACGCACAGCGTCACTGCATACAATGCAATATCATGCAACGCTCTGTTGTGACGTGTCTTGGTCCTACAGAACCTGCTTCAAGCAATGTTGGCCTTGACGGCAAAGCCATAACACCAGCATTCAGCACGAGGCAGTGGAGAGGCAACTCGGCAAGGCGGTTGCTGCACGGACGATACCTTGAGTGCTCCCGGCACGACTTGCAAGCCTGCATGGCCAGGAAATCCTCCACGAAGCGGCGCACGGATGCCAGCGAGTCCAGCTCCAAGGGCATGTAGCCTTCACAGGCATGACATGGCGTGACAATGGACACTGCGAACTTGCCTGGTTCATTTTTGAATCTCGCAGCTTTTCGGATCGGGTGAGGTTAGTCAAACATCGAGCGGTCTGACTCCACATCATGCCGAGACACGCAGCTCGGCTAGACCAGGTGGCGTAAGCTGCCTGCTGGCATATTTTCCAAACGATAGGTCAGCAGGCACAGCTGAATCTGGGAAGTCGCATGGCAACGGGGAGGGGTGGTGACATGCCCAGGTGCTCCCAAGCGCCTCAACACAGGAGCTCAAAACAAAAGACACGAGCACTACCAGCATCCACGCATACTGCAAGAGCAGCATGTGCATGGTGACGCCGGTGGCGAGTCGCCACTTCTATGCATGAGCGAAGTGGTTAAGTGAAGGATGTGCCTAAATGGGATGCGAAGCCGAAGCCCAAGGCTAGGGGTTCGTGGGTGGAAGTCCGCACTGCTAGGGGCTTCGTGCCACACTAAGTTACTGCGTACTCATTGTGTGCGTGTCAATTCGAAGAAAATCGCGAATACTAGTGAATTTGGATTACCCTAATCAGATGAGTGATACAGTGATACCTTTGACTGTTCTTGTGGAATGTATTGTAGGTAACTGTAGGTTTTCCGGGAGTGCCAATTTCCTCCTAGACGTTCCTACCTTACGCCTGGGCTGCCATACCCATAGCGCTGGTAGTCCATGCACAAACGTGGAACTTCTTGAAGAGCCCAGCCGACAACCGCGGCGCATGCGGCTGACTGTGCATCGGGAGCGGTTGAAAATCGTTTCCGAACAAGCCAACCGATGGGTCCAAGTACTTGGCCATTGTAATCGCCGGCAGCCGTTTGCCGCGAGAAGTCAGGTCCCAGGTAAGCTTACACCCTCACAGTCTGATTCAGTGGTTCCCGGATCGGCAACTCCTGACGCGACAACCGTTGCTCTCGCCTTGATTCTTGATGCCAACGCCTGCGCTTCTCGCCCAGGTACTGCTCCCCTGAAACCCCGTCCAAAGACCAGAACCGTACTAGAACTACACCACACTTTGCTTCCGCGCCTGAGGCTTTCCAGCGCCTTCTCGTGCTTCTCCCGGCTCCTACCGGCGAGGACGATCAGACCTCAACAACATCCCGCCAAACTGAGGAAATCAAAAGTATATGTTTAAGTACTGGCCCTGTTCAATTCTAGCCGCACGAGAAACTCCCGCCGAGGCGCTAAAGTTACCTGATGTGGCCAAGGACTGCGCTGTGGCGAGGCCCAAGCCGGTAGAAGCTCCTGTCACCTTCCAGTCTTACAGAACAGCATCGTCTGTGGACTATGGGGTGTCTATAACATCATGACTCCATGATAGTCTGTGATGTCTCATCGGCAATGTCACAGCCAACATGAGCCATGAGGAAGTACATGACAGTCAGGTGCTGCTTGGCCACAATTGCCACACGGCCGGGAGATGGTGAGACCTCCCGAAAATGACATGACCGAACCCGAGGTGCAAGGCACTTGCCAGCCTCCTGGGTGGCCCTGCGAACCGTCGACCAAGCTTCCTGCTAGACAATCGAACGTGACATCGACAACTTCTCGGACAGCAGTACGCTGGATTCCTTTCACCTTCCGCGGCGAGTAAAGATGCTTGGCACTTGCGGGGGCCACGAACTCTAGGGTGGAAGGAAGGATGTGCTTGTGAAGCCTGGCTGTGCTCGTCGGCGATGCCACAGCGCTGTGTGATTGGCTTGCGATCGTGCGGTACTGGCGAAGGACGAGCCTCGAAGCAGTACCAGTACCAGTATGCTTTGCCACCGGGAACCGCTTAGCCGGCCCCTCCTGCGATCAGTCCATCCATAAGGGCTGGGGAGCAGGCTCCCGCCTGTACCACAAGCCCACAAACCTCTCCGCCGAAACGATAAAAGACGGCTCCCCAAGAGCTGCTTCCGTGCGGTCGGCGCTTCGAACGGCTTTGCCTTTGCTAGGCAAAGCCGCCCACGGCCGTGCTCAAAGCAGCATTGTCACGCCGGTATGCTATGTCGATCATTGTCCGGGCTAGGTTGCGATTGAAACGCTGTGTAGGTGTTGGGACAGTCCCCATTCCTCTATCAACGCATACACTCAGAATCCGCTCAACGTGTCAAGAGCTCCCTGTCTTGCTTCTTGACCTAGGGTCAGATGAGGGTACAGAGAAAGGGCCAAGGGTTGCAGGGGGCACGTTGGATCCTGCCGAGGTCGTAGCAGCAGGAAGAGGACGACAACCAGCCCCAGCCGCAGCTTTGAAGCCATTGCAGAGGCAGCACTAGCGGCCCGGTACAAGCCCTAAATGTTCTTGCTTCTTTGGATAACCGACACTGTTCTTTTAGCAGAGCCAAGGCGTGAGCTTTTGCAAGACTACAGGTCTTTAGATGAACGTCGTCCTTGGTGCAACTGCAGCAGCTTGTCGACCCAGTCCTCGTGTTAAACATGCCTAGTACAGGTTTTTGCAGCTAGGCAACTAGCTCACCAGTCAGAAGCTAAAGCTTCAGCTACCAGTCGTTGCAAGCTTGAGAGACAATTCATGCCATCCGCATGCCCACTCGCAGCACTCCCGCCCGCGTTCCAACTGTAATTATAGTTTTCTCACCGAGCGAACAGCCGCTGTGATCATAAGCGAGCAAGATTCGTTAGAATATTTGTTTCCAAATTCGTAGAAGGGCAGGGCGAACAATAGAAGCCCGGCCCACGCCGTTTGCGGCATCGGCCTATTGAAATCTGAACGGCCGCAGCCACTCTTTCGCGAGTATGCCTCTGGCCTCTAAGTGGGGAGCTGCATTTCATGCACGGAGCATGTGTCTGTGCACCCGAGCCACCCCATCCGCGTCAGCTCCCTGCTTTTGAAATACAAGTAGTACTCTCTCAGGCACCCACCAGCATGCCCATCTCAGGAACTTGGGCAGTGGGCTGCACGGGAAACAGCTGCATCCGTCTCCGCGCCACAGCGCTTTTCACGCAGCTTGGCATCACACAACTCAGACTCACTACTCCTGCTGCTATGCCTCATCAGGACAGGATTCTGGATACATGGACATCTCATCTCGTCATCGAGTTATCGAGCAAGAACGAAGGAAAACACCTTGACTTATGCCTCGATTTATGCAAGACAACAGAGCCTGTAGCTTATGTGGACATAGTCACATAGTGTCTTCTGGAAAGTCGACTTCATGTAATGTGACGACCCGGCCTATGACAGGGAAGACCAGCTGACACAACCTGCAGCAGGAAACATGTGGCGATCTCACGCAGAGCATCGCGAAAACTAGCCGGAGCCATCCAAGCCTGGGCTGTCGTGCCACTAAGGCTAAGCACACGGAGCCAAAGCACAGCTCCGGCGTGCATGAGCCACAGGCATGATGGAACTCCTGCGACGAGAAACACGCTGCAAGTCCCTGGCTGAAGATACACTGCCCAGGCTGTTGCATGGCCGTGATAACAACTCGAATTGACAGCAAAGATGCGCCGTCGGCCATGGAATGCCAAGGACCTGGCAGCCTCGCAGCGGTCCACCTCCGCACTCAGCCTCTCCCAGACCTTTCCGAAAACCGACAGCAGTTCGACTGGACCAGCAAGTTTAAAATCCAACCGCAGTTACTCGAGACCTGTCTCAGTTTCGGTTGGACTTCTTTCTGGACGGCATGGTATTCTTGCCGGCACAGTGTCCTGAGCATCAGCTGCATGACGCGCCCTTGGTACAATCCTGTGCGAAGACGTCTGAGCATGCGGCCGCCTTGCGCGAGCTGGGAGGTACTGGAGCAAACAGGGCAGGATGTCCGGCTCCAATGGCTGACTCCTCACATCGTCGTACTGGCAAGACAAAGAGATATGGAATCAAGGAGCAGACGGGGCCTCGGACTCGAAGGGCTGCCGAGTTTTTGCTGCCCATCCTCCTTTGCCAGATTTCTCACCAAGTGCGGCTCTTGAGAGAAAAAGATGATGCAACCATCGGGCCGCAGACCCTCGCGGTAGCGTCCAGTGACATGTCAGGGTCAGGGCTCGCCTGTCTGCGTCAAAAAACTTCCGCCGCATTCACAGCAAACGGCCGGTCAACAAGACTTCAAGAAGGTTCACTACTATTTTTGGGGGGGATCCTTCTTTTAAAAATAGTATACTATATCCAAGAGCCCTGTTCTAATTATTAAGGCTCCTATACAATAGGCGAAAGGTGCGCACAGCTCTAAGACTTTACGCATGAGCGTGGGAGAAGGGGGGTCGAGCGAGACGTTGGGCTCTCTCTCCGAGCCCTACTGCAGGTGGCCTTCTCAGCTAACGGTTCCTTGGGAGACTACAAGTTCTGGACTCTGCCTTCTTGAGAAAGGCTCCACGATTCATTCGACTGATGCGACTTCCTTGCTTGAACTGAAACGATATGACTAAGTTTTCAAAATCAGAATGGAAAAATACAGCCAACAGTCCGCCTCGAAAGCCATGGCTGAGCTCGGAATGGGTCCCCGGTTTCGGAGGCTGCAGAAGTCGCGACAGCAATGGCGTGTCATGTGATCAGTGGCAGGCTTCCGTTACTGCAGGCTTGGAGCACACTCTAAACGGTCGACGACTCTCTCTCTCTCTTCGCCAGAAAATGGGATCTGTCTGTAAAGCTCACTCCGCAAGACGGTCGCTAGAGGTTTGTTTACTGCTCTTTGGGTCGCAGCTTCTTGCGGAAAGAGCTTCCTCAGCCTCGAATAGTGCATAGGTTGAAACATCAAAGCGATGATCAAAGATTCAGCTGTCTAGACCTTCTTGGTCTCCCTGGACCCACGCAGCCGTTCGAAGCTGACATTCCACTCTCAGTCCAACTACCCGGCGGTCTGAGTCAAGATTTGTCAATCAGCTGCAACTTGATGTTCAAGAAAATGCTGTGGTTCAATCTGCATGCAATTCATCAAGAACGGTCTGCGTCAGCGTAGGTCCAGGCTGTCCGTTAAAATATCTGCAAATTGATCGGTCGACTGTGGGAGGAATGGTGGCGCTCATATGATGCCCACGGAAGCCTGATACACCATCAGTGACTGGCTTGCCCCCATTGCTTCTTGATCCCGAATTGCGGATTGCAGAAGTATCGGCAGTCGCAGGGATGGAATGCATCGCATCTTTGTGGCCGGTAGACCCTTGAACCCCCCAGTTCTCGGCTGGCCTTCGGGAGATCAAAGCTCAACCTGGCAAGCAGAGTCTTTCAGAAGAAACTCCTGGTCTTGTGCTAAGGCCGCTAAGTGAAGCGCCGTCTTGTCTTCATAGACGCCCTCAGCCAGCTCCTGATCAGTCGGAGTCGCTGCACCCCTCCTGCAACTGCTGCTATTTTCATCTCTTCGAAGGCGGACCTTCTCTGCTCCGCTGGTGTTCTTCACGGTGACGGTGCCCTTGAAGACAACACCCTTGGCCAGTTTCACAGGTCCTGGCAACAAGCGCCCGAAAAGTCAAACTCACTCAATGGCTACGAGCAGTTGGCCCTCCTTCAATGACGAGCTTTTTGCATCCGATGAGAGACGGCGGCCCGTTTGGTATGAGCTTCTCCTCCATGGCATCCTGGCTTGCAAGGAGACAAACGGCAAAACAAGTTTCGTCTTTGCAACTGCACGCAAGAAGCAGCAGTAGCATGGCAAACAGCTGTGCCGCGCTTGGGCCGCTGTTCCAGCAGCATCTCCTACACCCTTAAACTCGGACTGCCTACAGTATCATGGCCACCCAACCGCCGAATCTGGCATGCATCCTAGGTGCCGTAAACTTGTACATGCCATCCAGCTTGACGTCAGGAGGAACTCCATTTCGTTCTGGTGCAAGAACGACAGTGAAGTCCTAGCGGGCACCAAGGGGCCGCAAGCCAGTCACACTGTTTGCTGACTTGGGCTCGCTGCAGGTCGCAGGGTGCTCGGAATCAGAAGTGCTTGTCTCTGCTGAGCTTCTCCACACACAGCTTAAGGCTTCTGACGAAGGGTCCAAGCGACTTGAGGGGTGAGCTGAGACCAAGAAAGGCGACCCCTAACTAGAGAGAGAGGCCTGTGCAGGGACGTGGAGTGTGTGGTCCTGCTTCTTGCGATCCTCCTTGTTGCTGCTGCTACCCATGTGACCCGTTCAACATTGCCCCCATGCTCCCGACGTCCTATGGTAGAATCACTCGGAGCTTTCCGGCCTTTGTATGACCCAACCTGCTGCTGCTAAAGCAGGACTGAACTCAAGCTTGACCTCATGGCTTTCGTGACATGGCGTACGGTCAGTTCTGTCCCCAATAACACGACACCTCCCGCTTCGGTGTCCATGAAATTTCGGTGCTCAAGGCTGCCAGTGCTTAAAGCTGCTTGGTAACGATGCTTGGGCTCGCATGACCAAGTCAACAAGCCTACATATACGCAGGAGCACACGCCCATGCAGCACAACACAGCACCAACCGTGGAACACAAAAGAAACACACAGCCAAGAGCAAAAGCAAAAAAACAACCCGAGACAGGACATGAGGTCAAGGCCCCAAGGTCACGAGCGATGACATACCGCCCATCTGCGCGAAGTGTTTGCTTGGCACAGCTGAGCGGTCCGAGGACTGCTCAATCTGGTTTGCGGTCCTCTGTGAGCAGGTAGGCATCGGATCGCAACGCCAGGAGGTCCTCGTTTACAATCTCTCTGGGGCATAGTATAGATTTACCCAGAATCCTCAGGGCTCCTGACAAGTCTGCTGAGACCGAAACCTGAAACTCTGCTGAGTCTACTGCCTGAAACATAAGGGCACTCAAGGCTCGTTCGTGGTCTTCACCGGTGCGAAACGTGAACGAGGGATGACCAGAGCGGACGCACCTTCGGGATCGCAAGATGATCAGAAACATCACGCATGAACATTCCATTGGTCTTAGCAGCACGAACCGCCCAACTAATCTGCTTGTGATGTCAGCTATCCGGATACACCTGTGTGTCGTCTACTATCTTCCCTTTTGCTGTCAACGAGAGGCAAGACTTCACATCTATGCGGACCCATCCCCTCTTACACACGGGCCTTCAAAGCACTGGATGGCAGCCCCCATGGCCGTCTCCAGCTGCAAAACTTTTGTGGACTTCTTGTCTCGTGGGTCCACAGTCTTCGAGTTCCTGAGTTGCGAAACACAACGCCTCTCACGTACGTCTTGCCAAAGGACGCGACGCGACACAGAGAGACACGGTCCACCAAGCGTCTTCATGACCGGAAGAGGCAGCGCTCCGTCATTCTTCCTGAACTCCCTCTTCAAAGCTGCCAAGTCCACCCAGAGGTTGTTGGTGTTGAAAAACCTGAACTGAAGCAGAATCAAGGCTCAGACTGCCCAAGAGACCAAGAGACCTTTGACCAGGACAAACACAGATTCATCTGCGCGCCAGGTGGCTTGTACTTGCCGACATTCTGAAACTCCTTCTCATCCTGCACGCAAGGAACAGGAAGTGGCAATGTTGGCGCCGATATCACTTTGCTGGGATACCTCTTCAGGGCACTGAGCAGACTCGCGGAGGAGGAGACCGCCGGTTGCCTGAAGTCGACTGGCACAATCCAAGAAGAGAGAGCAACCACTTGCCATGTCTCGGTGCTCCTGTGTGGAGTCATGCATCCGAGCCTTGTCTTTCGCGAGGTGTCCACCTTTCTTGTCCTGCCATGGCTGCGTCATACACGAACTCGCACGTCTGGGCCTGCCCCTCCCCACGATCGCTCAATCTGAAGGCTCTAAGGTTGGGGCAGCATCGGTGCGCTCCGCGACCTCCATCATGAACGGAGCACCGGATTGCCTCAGTTGCTTGCGGCAGCCTCGAGCTCAGAAGTGACTTTCCTAGATTTATGAAAGCTCCAACTCCGGCAAAAGCTGCACGAAGTGAGTCAGAATCTTGAGGTCCATGGTCGCGCCAAGGTTGTCCGAGTTGGAGACGAACATGTATCTGTAGCCTCAGGAGCTCGCATCCTGCCTAAGCACTCCTGTCTTTGTCCACTCCAGACTCCAGGGGCAAGCGGCCTTTCTTCAGAAGCTTCTCCAGCGTGCCGCTCCTCCACAACATCTCGCGCACAGCGCAGCAGTTGCATGAGTTCTCGCAAGAGTGACTCTGCTCTGAGGTCCGTCACTGGTCCGTCAATTCTGCTCGCAGGCAGCTAGTCAGCTAGTCCCCGCAGATGCTCCTAAACCTTGCGATACACTATGGTCGCTTCAATGTCGGTTACAGGGTCTGCCCAGGTGTCCCGAGCAGCGCTGGGTACAAGTCACCATGGCCCGGTGGGCCTCAGCGGCAAATCGAGTCACATTGAGCCCCAGGGCTGGAAAATGGTTTCCCACCCGCAAAATGTTTAAAGCCGGATATTGCATTGGTTTTGCAAACCCTTCGCAAAGATTCTGAGACTCGCGACTATGCCTAGCGTCCCATTTCCCGACACATGCAAGCACGTCCACGAAATACCGTTGAAGCAATTCCCATGCCAGTCAGCGGTCGAGGCACACCACTCCATCCCCGGATCTGCGGTCCAATCGGCCGGCGAGAAGTCGCTTTCGGTGACCTTGGGCGCCTTGTTCTGCACGAACCTTGAAGCTCAAGCTGCAGCAGGCGCCATCAAGCAAGTGTTGTAAAGGTTCTGAGCCCAAGCAGCTCAAGATCTGAGCCAGTCCCAAGCTCCGTGTACTTGGAAAGGGCTTCCAGCGTATCCTTCAAGCATGGTGCGCTTGTTTCTCGACCTCGTCATCAGCTGCACGCAATCCGGACATGCCTGCGAAGTCGAGAACGAGTTCATAAGCATGAACTTCAGGTCCTTGATTCGCATGGGCAGACATTTTTTCACTTTTTACCGTCACATCGCAATATTGACAGTTTCAAAGGGGATCTGGCGCTGCCTGGGAAGTACAATCAATGCGTGCTGCACAAGGAACGGTCTTGAAGGTCTTTTTGGTCGCTGCCACCTGCTTTGCAATCCTTGCTCACCGAAAGCTGATGTGCAAGTGCAATCTCAATCCACTTCAGCAAAACTCCCATTCAGGACATCGAGCGGCAGGTCAAGGAAGCTATTGCCCTCGGTGACCGTGAGAAGGGACTTGGCCTTCTCCAGGCCCATGCCTGACAGCATTATGATGCCTGGCCCTGCATGGCTCTTCCGTGCTTTAAGTCCCTAGCAGAGGATCCGAGATCGAAGAAATCTGAGGAAAAATCCACTCTCCCCCCGCCTGTGCCCAACCCTCCGTTCAGCTTCAAGATGAGGGTCTTCCGCAACAGCCTGGGATCCTGATGCGATGATACAAAACGAGCGCCTGACAGCATGCTTGATGTCCTCTACAAGTGGACATAACCAATCCCCTCCTGACATAATAACTCCCGTGCAATAATGAAAATTGCTCGGCGGGTGATTTGAGGATTTCGTGGTTACTACGAGTAATTGACAGGAAAACAGGGGACTGCAGGACTGCACCAGGTTCACCACGGGCAACTTGAAAAAATCTGCTTTTTGGTGGCCACAACGAGGAATGCTACTCACAATGACCAATCACTTGTATCAGCAGTACTCGTTCTGCAGGAACAGCAGACAGGGTGAGTACTACGATTGGCCATGGCTTGGACACAACCTGCAACCTGCGCCGTCCCTGCCCTCCCCCCACAGTAACTAGTATCCCCAGCATCCAACTCAATCTTTTCGGGGAGCGGCTACAGGGGAAAGACTGAAAGTTACGCTGGAAACCCTTGAAATGAAGACAGGTCACACAGGCAACCGACTTCTCCAAGTAATAAAAGCACAGGCACAACAAAAAAGCAAGTGGTGAAGACAAGAGCGACGGCTTGGCCTTGCCGTTTGGCATGTTCCTCTAGCAGGTAAACAGAACAGGCCGTCACAACAGGTGAGGCAGGGGACTGCCGTCTTGGTGCCGGCAGGATCCGACAAATAGAGTGCAGTTGCACAACATGGTTCGACGCCACCGTCGCACGCACGAGCTAGTTGCCAGCAAGTCTCTGGCTTCTCCTTCAGTTTCTCGTACCTCGATGACAAGCCGTGAGTGGCAATTTGGGGGTGCCCCAGGAAAGAGATGACACAGAGATACTACGGATCCAACGAGCCACTCAGGCAGCTTGTCGACTGGGTCCAGCTTGCTCTCTGGAATCATCACCTGGGAGCCAAACCCGTCAAGGCCAAAAACTTAGGTAGCAACTCGCCCTCAATTTCTGGGACCCGGCATCAGCACCAGAGACGAGAACGCCTCAGGACTTCGATCGTTCCTTCTGTTCCAATTTGGCCAAGGTGGCTTTAAGGACCGGGGCCATAGTTGTATTTGAAGGCCGCAATGGCAGATTCGTTGAGGTCTTCCTTCAGAATCTCAATCTGCTGCCCCGCTATCAACTCTTCGCCCACCTATAGACTCATCTGCAGAAGAGTTGCCTTCTTCATCTTCTCCTCGTACTTAGGCCACGTGTCCACCATCTTGGATGGCCCCACCTCCGATTTCGACTTCTCGCACAAAGCCCGGTCTCCACATCGCCACATGCGCAGGCATGTCATGACTTCCCCGGCCTTGGACACGATGTCCATGAATGTGGGCTTCAGCGATGCACCGCCCACCAAGAATCCGTCGATGTTCGGCTTCGTGATCAACTCCTGGACCCACCACTGCAGCTTCAAGACCCATCCGCCAGGGGGATGAGACATATATGCATACATACATATATATATATATATATATGCACAGGACATCACAGGACAATCAAAAGCAAAGTCACGGCGCAGTTGTCGGGAGTGACGCTGCCACCATACTGAATTCTCACCTGTAGGCAAGAAGTTGAAACACTGCTCTCCTTGAGGCGGCAAAAAGTTGCAAAAGCCTCTGAGCTCTGATGCGACATGAGCAGAAGTGCAAAAAAGCTTGTTTTTCTCACCAAAGCAGTAAAACGAAACGTGGTGAGTCGCTCAGCTGTGCGGCTGTGTCTTTGGCGTTGCCCTGTGAGGCACCCGTTTTGGGTTCATAGGGCTGGGCGTGCGGGGTCTGGCAAGGCTTCGAAGGTAGGACCTCAGTTGCTTCTGGCTGAGCTGAGCGTCCGGTGTCATTGGAAGCCTTAGCGGACAGCAAACAGTGCACATTTGGACCCGTAGGGCTGTGTTGTATCGAACTACGGAGGCACTGCAGCGTCCCTTCAGGATGGCAGCTGTGTTTCATGTGGGGTACGGCCTCAGGTTTTGTGGGGGACTGTCCTTCGCACTCAGCCCGCGTCGCTGCTGGGCTTGCTGACGATAGTGCTTGCGGACATGATTGCCGAGCACTGGACCTCTATCATCGCTAGGCAGCGAAAACCTTTGATATACCGACTGCATCGACGGTCTGAAGCATTAATGGATTTTTTGCAAGCAAGCAGCGCAGATGAGCTGCCGCTCCTGTTCGGTGAAGTCCTCAGCGGTGATGTCGAAGTGGAGGCTTGGCTTCTTCTGGAGCGCGTCCCCATGCGGTCCTGGCTTTCGGGGGCCTTTGCAGCGTGTGCTTTTGCCTGGGGCGTTCCCACAGATGCCTTTTTGCGAAGTGGCACCCAGGGATCTGCCGGCGTGCGGGTGCTTGCTTGCGGGAGCGCACGCCCGCGCTCGGATCGGCTCTGCTTTGGAGCCGCAGTGGCTGGTGAATTATGTGAAATCCGTGAAGTTGCCCGGTCCAAGTGTGCATCAGGCTTTGATGTGTGGGCGGGTTTGCCCAGAGCCTCCGCTGGAAGCGCAGGTGCCGTTGCAGCACGCTCGCTGGTGTGACTGGTGTGACCTGTTTCCGACTTCACAGCCTCCAGCTCTGTGCTGTGCACAGCATTAGCCTCCTGAGACAAAGCCATGGACTCGCAGCTGACCGCAGAGAGGCATTCGGAGATGATGGCTGAGGCTGGGCCTGGGTGGCCGACTTTTTCAGGTAGCACTGCAGGCTCCACGTGTCCTGCGTGCCCTGCATGGGCATCCTCCACGTGCCCTGTGAGCTCTGCACTCAAGGCTGACTGATCTTCGGCTTCGGTAGGGAAAATCCCAGCAAACTCCGAAGATGGGTCCTGCTCGGCAGCCATAGTGGATCCACCAACGGAGGTAGTGAAGGGTGAGAGACCATGCTCTTGCGGGGCAGGCTCGGGGGGTGGTCGAGCTTTTTCCTCCCAGCTTCCGGGGATGAACATGTTTTCTTCCCACCCTGCGGGGATAAGAACTGTCGCTGGGTCATGAAGTGCACTGGCAGCTTCACCACCCACAACACGTGACAAAGCCGCCCGGACCTTGGCAAAAAGCTCCCCCTCTTCTCCTTCACCTTCTGCAAAAGCATCATCGAACTTCTCTACATGAGAGGCCACGAATATTTCATCATGGTTGATGTCAGGCAGGGCACTCTCCTTGCTCAGCGCCAAAGCTGATTCTACAGCTTCTTTGGCTACCTCTGTCTCTGGCTTCTCAGCACCTTCGCGAAAGCTGTCGGCATGCTGAGTGCGTGCAGGCGAGAAGCTAGTGTAGATGTCTCTGTCTGCGACTTCCGACTCTGGTACGGAGATCTCCATGCGTCCATTCGGGCCTGTGGCTGGCAACTGCACGGGCCCCGCTAGCTGCATCTCATCCGAGAAGCCTCGGTCCGGGGGAGGACCAAGCCGCACTTTCAGCTGCGGAGCTGGCGAGACAGTCCGGCCAGCGAGAGCATCTTCGGGCTGAGCTTGCCCTTGATGCGATGGCTGGGGCACCACAGGTGCCATGTACTCTTCAGTGAAATTGCGGATCAAGCCTGCAAGCTCTGATGCTTCCTTTTCTTTCTGCCGCAGAACTTGGTTCCAGCGGGCACAATCCTCTGCAATGGCTGAAGTGCGCCTCCAGAGTGCCTCCAGCATTGCTTGCTGGCTCGTCTCGGATGTTCCATGGCAATTCGCCGGCAGAGTCGCCCGGCTCGGAGGGAGGGTTTGGCCATGAAGAAGGTACGATGAAGGCTGGGGTGCCGGGTTGTAGCAGGGGGTCGCCCGAGCCCGAGCGGGACTTAGATGACGCTCTGGCCTGGGCAGTGGAGATGGAGATGCAGCTCGCAGCTGTGTGGCGGCTGCGGCGGGTTCCTGCGGCGTCTGTGCCGCATGAAACTGCCCCTGGACAGTACGAACATGCTGCATGCTGGTGCTGGCAGGGACGGGACTCCGCGCAGGCGAAAGTGATCGAGAGAAGGGCGACGGCGCTCTCGCATAGACGGGGATGCCACACGGTATCTGAAGAGGCGCCGGCACCGCAAAATTAGCCTCGGCAAGTGTTTTTAAAACATCTACAGCAGGATGTCGGGTTCTCTGCTATGCTCGCATTCCAAATTCTGTGACACTAAACTTTCCAAGGGTTCGTGATGTGTACTCCACCAAGCAACTGCATTCAGCGAGACCGGGCGGATTTGAAGTTCAGGCGACGGTGGGGCCTGGGCCTGCAAGGGCGGCTGCGGCGGAGGCGGAGGCGGTCCAGGAGGCGGTCCCGGAGGCGGCGCTGGAGTTGCCGGAGGCAGAGGGCTTGACCTGCCGACTGTATCACAGGGGTGCATGCGCTCTCGTCTTCTGGCAGCATGGCTGAAGTCCCCAAGCCTATGCCGTCCACCGTATATTCTGTGCCTGAGTACAGGCAGCGGGCCCGGAGCTATGCTGGCTCCACTCCGCAGCAGCCTCAGCGAGGTCGGCCTCTCTAACACTTTCGAACAACTTCGAGATTTAGAAACTAGAAACTAGACTTGGGTACTCTCACAGTCTTTCAGATCCAAAAGGGCGCATGGCTTCTGGCAACCTGCGAAAGCCACTGTCTTCGGCACTGACACCAAGTAGATGCTTGCTTTCGGCTTCGGAGTCTCAGCTAGGGGACAACGGTGTGCTCGGAATCGGTGCGCAGCGCAATGCTTCGGCTGCAGCCTGCTGGGCCCTCGCCAGCCTAAGTCCGAGGCTGGCGAGGTTTCGGTTCCCGACAGTTTCGAAGCCTCCGGAAGTAATTAATCTCGCTATTCAACTGTGCTGCTTATCTCCGAAACTTCGCGTGCCGAGCATCTGCATTTCAGTCTTCTTCTCGACAGGTGCCTCTCCTGCTTGCTCGTGGAAGATTCGCCATCCCTGTTGGAAGGCCCCCTCCATCTTTGCCGCTGTGCGGAGGTGCTTGTGGCAAAGGCTTCGATGACTTAGGGGCTGATGCAAAGCAGCACTCAGTACAGCGTTTTTGGGTTTTGAGCTGCCGTGGCCGTCCGTGAATATGCTTCTTGATGTAACCTGCCTGACTTCGCAGCCTTGGACCCAGCAGCTACGCATTGGCGGCGGACAGTTTCAGATCCAAGCACGGCTTTCAGCATGGCTCAGAGACTCTGTCTGCATGCCAGTTCAACTAGACGTCGTGTGGGTTCTGCCTTGTCGGCCACAGCAGCACCAGCTGCCTCCTTGAGGTAGGCTCGGATGGCCGCCTAGGTGTCGGCACCAAGATGCTATGAACGACTGCCTCCAACTCTTGATCATGTAGACTCGGCGGGAAGGCTGGCTGACACACAGAAGCACAGCTCTCTTCTCGCTTGTGCTAGATCCTAGCCTGTGCAAACGACAACCTTGAGCAACACACTCAGTAGATCGTTTTAGGTGGGAGAATGTGCAGACTGCAGAAGACCGCCTCGCCTGCGTTTCCTCCGCTTGATCTGGCGTTGCCACCTTGCCGGTCCCGATCGCCCAAACTGGCCTCAGGATCGGCCGATTTGCCGCTGTCGGAGCCCTCGGAGAACTCAGATCTCAGGAGCAGACTCGTAAGCGATCACGATCTTGTCCCAGTCCTGTGAGCTCGCGAGAGATGACAGAGTTCTGCTGCAGCGTTTCTTGCAGACTCGAGCCGCGTCACCTTGATTTTTGGCAGGACGGCGCCCAGTTGCCGCTTGTTTACCTCATCGGTTTTTCCTCCTTCACCTTGGTCTTCCCGTCATTCGAAGGAAGCTCAGGCGCAAACCGAGTTTACTTGGAGCTCCTGAGACGTCTACGCTCCTCCAAGGTCTCGCCAATGCAAAGGATGACATTGACCCCCGCGTCCTGGCATTTCGCGACCTGGGTTTTGGTGCGGCTCAAGGGAAGCCAGGAATGACATTTTACTCAGAAGCAAATGTCAAATGTGCCGTCAGGCTTCCTTCTCTGCAACATCAGCGTCCGTCTCGCCGTACTTCGTTCTCCGCTCCGAGTGCCCGATGAGGGTCCAGGAGATGTTCTTGGCTTTGTTGACACCAGCAGTGTGCTGTGCACATCACATTTCATCACGTTTCGGATGCTACAAGCTGGCGACGCCTATGGGACACCTCGGCGGACCATCAGTTCTGAGACTGACAGTCTAAGAACATCCATGGCTCGATATCTAGCAGGTTGGTCGCAGTCCACTCACCTGAGTTGCGAGTTCCAACTACACGAAAGCACACCCTCTTCAGTCTTCGGCAACCGCTCGCTTAGATTCGTTCATGTTTTGCCAAGCTTCCGGTAAAGGCTCCGGCATCATTTTTGCCAACATTCTGCGCGCAGGTGCTCATGTCAAGGGCCTCTCAGAAAAGGCATTGATGCTGGTCAGATGTTCACGTGTCCCAAACAAGAACGAATCTGAGGTTCCTGGATGGACTCATTCAGAGAAAACATCCAAAGGGCCGGTGGACAGATCACGACATCCACTTTGCCTAGAGTTGCGAGGCCAATGCATGCGGTGAACAAGAGCTCCATGCAGAATCCATTGTGGCCACGGGGCTCTTGTCCACATTTGGCAGTGCCCTTGATGCGGCAGGCCGCGATGAAGTTTAAGCCAACAGGACATGCGGCTTTCAGGTATTCAGGCAGGGCCCATGTCCTCTCTGCCAAGCATCTTCTTCCAATCTTTGAGGAGTGTGTTGGCCTCGCGCAGCGTCGCGGGATTGCACTTCCAGTTGCCGCCCACGATGAATTTGCCTTTGATTGCAGAAGTTCTGCCGGCGACCCAACACAAACCACCCCTCCAGGGTGCTGTAGCTGGGTTTCGCACATTGGGCAGTAGCCGACATCATGAAATGACAGATGCTGCTAATACCCATGCTGAGCATTTCATGCAAACTTTTAATGCTAGAAACTACTTCTACGTAGTAGTCATACCAATACTGATACTAGCTACTGCGACTGCGACTATGCTGCCGGAACAAAGAGGAACCCGCCAGACCAATCATCCCAGGGCGACGAGACGACCGGATGGAGGAGCGGATTTTACACGAGAGTCCCTACTTCAAATACCCGAGAATGTGATGTGTCCACAGTTCCGCGGTCGTTCTTAACCCACGCCTCCCCCCCTCCCCAAGAGAACGTGCAAGTTGGTATGGTATGCGCGCAGGCGTGCCGGCATCAAGCGACACCCGACTAGTAACTAGTACGGCCACATACGCACGAGCAGCGTGGTGCAACAAAAACGTTCTGCACGCACCCTTAATCATCCACCCAGCTGGACGGGCTGCGTGACATCGCGGGCTGCAAGGATCGCTGCGAAGTCGGCAACTCTTTTAACTCTCTGCTGTAAGGCAAAACGGCTGGCAGAAGAGATCACACAAATAGACTTCGACACACGAGCCGAATTCCAAAACAGTTCCCCATTGAGAGAGCTTGCAGCCAAACTTATCTGAACATCTGCTGTCAGTTGCACGCAAGCACGACGAACCTTCTTCGAGCACAGCAGATGAAGATACGAAACTAGGCTCTGGGCATGTTCCCGGTGCTGGCTCAAACACCACCTGCACAGGATCCCGACGAACACCGTTTACTCAGGAAAGCACGGCTCAGGCAAATAGACGAAACATTCCTCCAAAGTGACGTGCTCTGCCTGGCATTGTCGTGGCCTGCAGGGGGCAGCGCACGAGGCAGGAAGTCAGCTCTTTCGTATGGGCCTGTCGTGGAGCCGTGGGTGCCGCAACTAGACTTGACCCAGCACTGTGTAGCTGGTTATAGGTATTCCATGCGACAGTGGATTACCAAACCATGCATGTCTCAGAGCTTCTATGTACACTCTAAATGATTAACGTATGTAAGAATCGCGCAATGATTTCATGGACATCAGGATCCGCTGCCATGAGCCGCACAATTTGTCAGCCTTGGCCTGCAGCGCACGGCGCTTCTTCAGCACTCTGCAGCTGCGAACCAGCCTGGAGACGAATTTCATTAGCATCAGGATGTCAACATGCTGGCTTATTGATGCATTGATGTACTCTCCAAGTCTTACTCCAATATCTGTTCCGCATGCCAAAAGCCTGTGAGGGATGATGTGTCTGCTGGCTCAAAAGTTCGATTCATAGGCAGATCTTTTGAGTAACCTAGGCTTGCGCCGATTCATCGGCGCGGACTCTAGCATTATCTAGCATTGACATCACTTCAGCGACACGGCAATGATTCAGCTTCCTGGTCCGGGCCCCTCACTCCTCAGCCAAAGCTTCAGATTGCACGCCCTGGCTGGCGCCACACATACGAGTGAGCCATGTCTGCAGCCGTGCGTCATCCAAACTTCTAGCTTGCATAATTCGTGATCTCTCGTGCAGTCTGCTCGGGTTCATAATGCAGGAGCGGCTATCAGGACAGAGCTGTCCACAAGCTTTGGCAGACCTCGGGTCACGGCGTCTGGTGTGTGCCACTTGCTCCGAGTCACGTCAGCCTGCCCTGAGCCACTAGCTGCCCTCCGTCGACGTCTCATCCCGTGCCTTGTGCTCTTTGTTTCCGAGACAAGGGCGAAGTACATCGAACTGATTCACCCATTGGTTCGCTGGTAAGGGTTGCTCTCAATCAAGCACTTTCATTCGCGATGTCTGAATTCTGAATGTGGCTGGATGCCGGGCGCGCAATCCAATTACAAAAGCCCTTGATGCTTGCCAAGATGGGGGCCGCGCTAAAAGATGGATCAGGTGAAAATACGGTGGCCACAGGCGATCCTGATCAACGGCTTGCTCGGACACAGGACGGCACCGTCCGACTTTACCTGAAACAATGCTGATGGCGATTGCCGAGCTGCTTTCGGCAGTGTCCGTTGAACAGGTTGGTCTCACGACATTTCCCCCTCATGTTCTGGCCCCGGCAGTGGCCTGCAAGCTCCATTCTCCGGTGCTCTGCAGGTCCCTCCTGGCTTCTATCCTCCTGGGCAGCATCACGAAACCCACCGAAAGCACGAGAAGAGCCAGAATCGTGCAGCGAGAGGTCTGAGGCCATATGTTGTTAGCGAGACTAGGCCCAGACAGGCTCCAACTCGCGGGCTACAAAACCGACCTGAGGGAGGACGAAAGTCTGCGGACAAAAACCATCTATGACTCAGCTGTTCTGTAAGAAATGCAATGACTGTCTGGAAAAATCCTATGTCCTCCGTAGCTCGCTGAAAGGCCGATCGTCGCGCCAGGCCTCCCAAGGCAGCCTCTGCACCTGCCAGCTAAGAAAAATTCCGAAATGCATGATAACAGCAGCCATGCGGCGAGTAGCAGCCATCATCTTCGACAGAGGCATTGGGCATTGGCTGGGAGGTACGATACTCCAATACTCCCACAAAGCTCCTGAGAAGAAATAATCGTCTACCTGCGCTCGAGTTCTACAATGACAACCACCGCAAGTTGTTTTGTACTTGGCTTGCGGATCAACTCTGGCTCACTGTTATCCCGCCATGCCTGGACAATGTCCGGTGGATCCAATGCGAAGTCTGGACACGGTGTCAAGGAAGCGAAATCCAAACCTGACATCAGCAGGAAGCAAACATCGGAGCGAATGCGTAGTTCACTTCCAGGCCTTTCTCTTCTGAAATCAGAAGCCGGTACGGAAGGAACCTGGGCGTCATGCGAAGGAGACTCCAGTTCAAGATCCTCCATACATGGAAGATCTGAGAAATCTGAGGTCTGCTCCCTTCAAGGTCGCTGGAGACGAGCAGGCACACCTGCCAGCATGCGGAAGCAGCAAATGGGTGTCAACAACATGGTCCCATGACAGTCTGCAGCCCCAGAGTGATGGTGCTTCTGGCTGAGAAACGCAGCATCTTAAGCAGAGAGGCTTGCCGAGGGGTCCGTCCTTGTTCGGCGGCTCCCCAGGACGTCCACACGTGGCCCTCGACGCACCAAGTGGCCTCGAAGCTTTGCGATGCCCATGACCCACCATTCTATGATATCATACACCCTGCGGGATCCAAGGCGTCCACTTTGTGGCCTGACAGACAGCCTCTGGCACGGCCTTTGAAAAGCAGTGGCAGCAGTGGATCCAAAGGGTAGGAACAGAGTACACAGGAAGCCGACAGAAGGAAAGGCGCCGCAAGCATCACCTTCACTCCTACGTAGCTGGGCACCGTGGCTGGAAGGGGATACTCTGGCAGCGTAGCTCCCAGGAGTGCCTGGCAAGCATTAAATTCAGTCTGATTAGCCTGCATCTGCTCGCGTGCTTGACATGTCTTCTAAGCAATGCCTTGCCCTTCAAATCTGATTCTGCTCGAGGTAGCGGAGAGAACTGTGGTGCCACCAACGCCTGGCTTGTACCCATTTGCAGGTCGTCCCTGAAGGCACCAAGCTAACCCTCTCTATCTGCGAGTTGCTGCATACTGTTTTTTCGGGTCCCTCTTTGGCGGGTGCGTGCCGTTTCCTGAGATTGCAGCACCCGCAGGACCAACTGCAAAGCCCCGGAGAGCATCACAGAAATCGGGAGGCATCGTGGTGGTGGCGTCGTCTGCCCGGCCTCGCATCTCGACAGAACAAGCACTCTGCTTTCACCGGAACATGCCACATGGACCAAACTCCCCCCTGTGCCAGTTCCAGCGGCGTAAAGTCTCACACTTGGAAGGATGCAGCTTCCCCTTCTGCAAACGAAACAACTTTCTTGCCAGGATGTTCTATAATCCTATCTTGAAATCAGTTTCACATCGATAAGCTTGCGCAAGCCAATCCACAGGAAGGCCTTTGGCCAAACAGGCACGAAACTGCAAACTGTAAAGCTTGCCGATAAACCGCGTGCAGATCGTCCGTCGTCCGAGGTTTACAGAAGTACTGATTTTGAGTACGTATGTTGGCCGTTTGCCGGCATCTGGATACCATCAGAAGTCAACGCGTTTCTATCTAAACTTTTTGGGCGCGCCCCTATTTGGGGTCCCCTACGTTTTTCGCTATACCATCTGACTCGGCATCTGACTCGGTTATAACCACCAGACTAGGTTATAACCAACCGACTAGGTTACAATCAAGTGTGCGTCATCGACTACAGTATTATATCCGGTTTGAAGACCACGTTTTCAGAATGCTGAAACCCGCACAACGCTAAGAATTCTATGACACCTTCGTCGAAACCCTGTTACAATGTGCTAAAATCCTGGCTTTGAAGCCGTCGATATATCTTCGTAGTTCATGTTTGTGTGACTGTATCTAAACCGCTGTATTTCAGTTTTTCCAACAAGCGCGCTGTAGTCATTAGTCTGGTTCACTCATTCCTTATCGCGAACTAGATTTTGCAACGAAGAGTTTTCCATGTTTGTACTGTAATGCCGCAATCCCACCAAAGTCTCTGTTGTTGGACGCATTGCTATGACGTTTTGGCAAACTGATAGCTTTCAATGACATATCCCTGTGCCCCCATGTGATTGCTTTTAAACACTGGTATATCCGGTAGGTATACTTGAGTGGTGCATTCCTTAATTCTGTATGACGGCTGCCCCAAGCCAAAATTGAAAACTTGCATACTACAAGCTTAGCAAACGTTGTATAGTGTTTTTCCTGGGGGACGACATGAAGCGTCGCTTCTTAGGCTTGGCACTGTTTCTATATGCTGAGTGATGAAGCCTGTGCTTCTTGTATCAGCAGTGAGGAGAGTATCTAGTAATGACGCGGAAGACAAGGACAGTATGAACGCGAACGCATCCACGATAATAACGCGGACGCGGAAAGACGCGTAACAAGGACAAGCAGCGAAGGACGACCACGACGAGGACGACGACGACGACGACCACGACCACGACCACGGACGACCACGACGAGGACGACGACGACCACGACGATGGGATGCCAGCAACTAGTGCTGTAGCGAGCTCCAGAGAAGCTGCAACTTTCTTTTCCACGGACTCCAGCAGGTTCTGGTGGCGAACTAGCGAGGCGCAGTGCATATAAGCAAAGCTCAGGAGCATTCGAATGCACATTTTCGTGGGGATGATCTCCTGTCATGCAAAAAGGTTGCTGCTCAAGCTTGGCAGTAGCGATCCTGGCCTGCGGTTCGCAGATGTACAACACCAATGCTCGCGCAACGCCACTTTCCACTTCGAGAGAACGAGAGCGAGTTCCTTGGCCGGCACAGCACATAGGATTGAGATCTGAGAGTGTTTAGGGTTTAGGGCTTAGGGTTTAGAACGTTTGGAGTCGCAGGTTGTGGGTCGTATGCACACGCTGCACTCTCAAGCCCACTATCTCCCATCTGCTTGCAGTCTTAAGTTTTGCCTGCTCCGTAACCAGCCCCAGCCCGAGCCTGGCCTTTTCTAGGGCAGCGCGAGCCGTCCATCTTCCCCTGGCCGGCAGAAGAGATCCGAGAGTTTACGACTCAGGGTAGAATGTGTGGAGTCCCAGGTTGTGGGGTCTTACGCGCACTCTGCACTCAAGCCCACTTTCTCCCATCGGCTCGTAGTGTTGATTTTTTGCCTGCTCTGTGCCAGCCTGAGCCTGGCCTCAGACCTTGTCTGCCAGGCGGGCACAGACTATCGCGCGGCTCTTTGGGCCGGCAGGACTCTGGCAAGCCGCTTCGGCGCAGGCACCGACGCGTCCTCCTTCTCCTCAAGCAGCTCTTGCAGAGGCAAAACAGCTCGAGGCCTATACTCTGCACGGCGCTTCTTCTTGAAGAGACGCTTCCGAACTTTGGTCCTACGCGATTCTCGGGAGCTCCCGTCATCTTCGAGAGATACCCGAGCCGCCGCAGCCGTAGGCAGTACGCCGGCGCTGTGTACCCGCAGACCCAGGCGCTCCTGCACGTAGTACTGGTGAGGACAGTGGCCCTTGCGAAGGTGGTACCAACATGTGCACTGAACGATGTCACCTGCAATTATCTGCTCCTGGGAGCTGGCCGCCGGCTGGCCACTTCTCGATCTATAGATCACCACGCAGTGCTCTGTCCAGAAGCGATCGAGGGAGGGGAAGGAAATCTTCCACGGAGCCAACTCATTCGCGACCGAGAGCAAGACGCCGTGCTGCTGCAGGAGCGCTTTGAGCTGTGGCACGTTGCGAGTTCGAAGCTGGGCCATCATCTGCCGGGCATGCCCTGAGTCGACCGGCCCTGGTGTTCCCGTGCGCATGATGAAGCAGCGCCCAGTGCTGAAGCTGTCCTCAACGACGCAGGATGGCGTCCGGCCAACATCGTCATGGATCCGCCAGACAGCTGGCACAATGACCGTCCCAGACCCCGGCAGGTGATGCCGCCAAAGCCCTGTACCATCTCGCTGAACCATCCATAAGTCTGGGGACAGCGGAACTCCGCCGGTATTCCCGCTTGGTGTCACCAGGCCATAGGACGCCTCGGTTGAAGTACTGACGCTGGACCATAAAGCCACAGCACTTTTGCAGCGCTCAATCACGGCTGGGAGCTTGTCGTTAGGGGACTTGCCGACGATCCTCTTGAACTGTCGATGGGATGCCTCGCTTTGTTGCTGGCTAGGTGGATGCCCTGCCACGGTTTTGGAGGCGTGGCCATACCAGAAAGAAGCTTTCAGCCCCGTTTCGATGCCATAGATCTGCGCATCCACGGGGCCTTCGTGGAAGTACTGCCTTCTCAGATACGCAGCGAAGTCAGGGTCCGGCCATTCGTGGGTCATTCGCTGCAACCACTCGGATGCCAGAAGCATGAACAGGCTGAGCGTCGGAACGCGCGCCAGCCGGTGTAGGTGCCCAATTACCACTGGCAACGGCCGCGATGCAAGCCTCGGCACGCGGAGTGGCTCTCCCGTTTCACGATCCCTGATCTCGCTCTTAGCGAAATTGCGGAACATGTGTTCCATTCCCGGTACATGACGGGAGGATGGGAAGGTCGCTTTGCACACTTGCCGTAGTCCAGGGAAGTGATCTGTGTGAATCTGACAGGGCATGGGCACGTCCCGTCGCTCCAGCTCTTTTTGAAGCTCTCGTAAAGCCACCCTGTATACATCGTGAGTTTCCTTGGGAACTCGAGCAAAACACAATGGTAGACCACTGCGCCTCCATCTGTCTGAAAGCAAACGATGCACGCTGGCTGTAACCATCAAGTACACCCATCTCCCAACCTCGACTCTGAAGGTGCCTCTGCGGTTGCTTTGTTTAACCAAACACGCGTGGGTTTTTGACCTTACTATAATGAGTCAAAACCAGCTAGGGCCAAGTCGCAATCGGCACTGAGCGTCCACATGCCCAAGTAGTTGGCCTGATGCACAGCTGCCAGGTGGTTCAGCATAGGTGGCAGAGTGGCCACGAAAGACCCCGACGGCGGGCTCACCACGAAACAAAGGAGGCCGGCATCTGCGTCCCGATGTTCCGCCAGGCAGCGCTGCCAATCTGCGACCCCCGTGACCGGCGGTGCATTCTGGCGACGAGGTCGCAAGAATGCAGCTGGATCGAAGCCACGCACTTGGTGGCGGAGTGCTTGCGCATTCATGGTTGGCGCGCTACCCTGAGCTGCCATGCGTCTCGCCACATGCGAAGGAGTCACCTCCTCTCCTTCCGCTGCTACAAGTGCAGTGGCGATCTTCAAGCGTCTTCGCTCGGTCACGGTAGGCGGCTGATCGGACAAGGACTCGCGCAGCACACGCGCTTGGCCACTGCACTCACCAGCAACGAGAATCTGCAAACGCACGGTATCATCGTCCTGGTTCAGCGAGCACTCCGCCCGGAAGCGACGACCTTTTCCAGCGTGGCAGCCCGTGCACTCCATGCAGAACATGTTTGCCTTCAACTTCTGCTGCGCTTCCCATGCTGTGGACAGCTTGCCCAAGCACGCACCATCATCACGGCTGGAAAAGCTTGCCATCCAGGCCTTGGAGGCAAGCCGAAAACGCTCTTCTAGATCATCCGCCGCGCCCGCAGGTCGTTGGCCAAGCACGTGTGTGTACTCATCGAACGGGCGCCACTCTGGACGCTTGGGCATGTGGCAAGCTGGATGGCGAGCCGTTGCCCCTTGATGGAAGACGTCTCGTGTCTCTAGCTGAGCCTCTCATGTGTCAGCCTCTCATATGCATTTCATATGTCACCATGATATGTCAACATGTTTTTGCTTCTTAACTTTGTTCGCGCACGAAAACGAGCCAAGCCAGCTTTGCAGATCGGCAATCCACGCTCTGTCCATGAATCTGACTAAGGCTCGCCCCGGCATTCACAGCTTTCCGCGCGCGCCTCCAGCCGTGACCGGTCCGCCCACGCCCTCCGAGAGGCCTCAACTCCAGCTGGAGGGGTTTCGGGTCAACAACACCTCATGCTGTCAAACTGTTGCCGTAACAGACTAGGCGGCTGCCAGGGAAGCTAGTCTATTTGCCCTCTCCTTCTTCGTCATGAGGCTTCCAGTAGCTCGCGTAACAATGCTATTGGATTCGCCAAGCCTTACTAGAACCTTTCGAACGAAGCAAGCGGCAAACAGACCAGCTTTTGTGCCCAGCAAACCAGTCTGTTCACCTGCTCCTGCCTTCTCTCTTGAGGTTCAATCTTTACGTGTCTGTTTAGTCTCGCTAGGACTTCTCAGACAAACCAAGCGGCAAACAGACTAGACAGATGTGAGGCAAGCTAGTCTATTTACCTGTCCATGAAGTCAGAAACATTCAGCCCTGCCGGCGCCTCCAGCCGTGACCGGTCCGCCCACGCCCTCCGGGAGGCCTCAACTCGAGCTGGAGGGGTTCGGGTCAACAACACCTCATGCTGTCAAACTGTTGCCGTAACAGACTAGGCGGCTGCCAGGGAAGCTAGTCTATTTGCCCTCCTTCTTCGTCATGAAGCTTCCAGTAGCTCGCGTAACAATGCTATTGGATTCGCCAAGCCTTACTAGAACCTTTCGAACGAAGCAAGCGGCAAACAGACTAGCTTTTGTGCCCAACAAACCAGTCTGTTCACCTGCTCCTGCCTTCTCTCTTGAGGTTCAATCTTTACGTGTCTGTTTAGTCTCGCTAGGACTTCTCAGACAAACCAAGCGGCAAACAGACTAGACAGATGTGAGGCAAGCTAGTCAGTTTACCTGTCCATGAAGTCAGAAACATTCAGCCCTGCCGGCGCCTCCAGCCGTGACCGGTCCGCCCACGCCCTCCGGGAGGCCTCAACTCGAGCTGGAGGGGTTCGGGTCAACAACACCTCATGCTGTCAAACTGTTGCCGTAACAGACTAGGCGGCTGCCAGGGAAGCTAGTCTATTTGCCCTCGCCTTCTTCGTCATGAAGCTTCCAGTAGCTCGCGTAACAATGCTATTGGATTCGCCAAGCCTTACTAGAACCTTTCGAAGGAAGCAAGCGGCAAACAGACTAGCTTTTGTGCCCAACAAACCAGTCTGTTCACCTGCTCCTGCCTTCTCTCTTGAGGTTTAATCTTTACGTGTCTGTTCAGTCTCGCTAGGACTTCTCAGACAAACCAAGCGGCAAACAGACTAGACAGATGTGAGGCAAGCTAGTCAGTTTACCTGTCCATGAAGTCAGAAACATTCAGCCCTGCCGGCGCCTCCAGCCGTGACCGGTCCGCCCACGCCCTCCGGGAGGCCTCAACTCGAGCTGGAGGGGTTCGGGTCAACAACACCTCATGCTGTCAAACTGTTGCCGCAACAGACTAGGCGGCTGCCAGGGAAGCTAGTCTATTTGCCCTCGCCTTCTTCGTCATGAAGCTTCCAATAGCTCGCGTAACAATGCTATTGGATTCGCCATAGCTTTTAATTTGTGCCCAGCAAACTAGTCTGCTCACCTGCCTCCCTGCCTTCTTTCATCTTTACGTGTTTGTTTACCGCTTGGCCTATCCCGGAAGGATTCTTAGCACTCCTCAAGTATTATCGAGGAAAAGATCCCAAGCCCTCGAGCCTGGCGCGTTCGGCGCTTTGCGGCCTCTGCTCTTCGCTGCCGCTTTCGGCTTGGGCCCTTCTAACGCACGCTTGCGCTTCTGTTCTGCTTTGTCAATCTCTTCTCTCTCCTCTTCCTCCTTGGCTTCTCTTTGGCATTTTCGAAGACTGTCCAGCATTTGCCTTTCGTCGCCCAGTGTCAGTGCAAGTTTGAAATCATCCATTCTCAACTCCTTTTTGCCACGGTGTTGATTCAACAGGTGTGCCCGATGAAACAGCGAGGACACGATCTCGTCGACTGCAGATCCTAAGAGCAACATCGCCTCTTCCTCGATGGTGATGCCCTTTGGAATCTTAGGAAGAAAATGTTTCAAAGTGTCCGGAACCATGATATCCGGAGGTCTGAGCCGGAAATCCTCTATGTCCGTCTCTGCTGGCAAAAGCATTCCGGGGCGATCCACCAAGTAAACGTCTTTGTCCTCGGCTAAACACTTGGTAACTCGGCAGACACTTTGGCGACAGTCAGGGCAACCTGCAAGGTCCAAGGCTCTGTAGACCAGCACGCAGTCCACACAAAAAAAGCCTTTGATGTGGTTTCTGTCAGTTCCGGTCACGTGGATTAGCTTCGCCTCCACTTCCTGAACTTCCTGGTTGGCCTGTTCCACGAATTTGACAAAGCACCGACCCATGCTGGTGCACTGCGTGTCTTTGAGAACGGCATCCACGAGCTTCCGCTTCTTTTGCGCTTGCAGCGCCTTCTCCTCCTCTACCTGCATCTTCTCGTAGGGCGCCCGGTCCTCGTCACTCAAGGACTTGAACCTTGCGGACGCCTCACGCATCATGCCTCTGCAACCCTTGGCAGTCAGGGTATTCTTGATTGCGCGGTAAAAATGGAGGAATGGAGTCGTGGCCTTTTCCTTTCTATCGCTGACATTCTCTGTCGGCGCCTCCTGCTTAACAGCCGCCTCCTCTCCTCGCGCGGACTCCTCCTCATCCTGCATCGCTGGCAGTGCTGCCTGCTCCTCCTGCGCGATGCCTCGCGCCTCACGCAGTCGGCGCAGCAGCTCTGCCTTGTTGCCGCGCACTCGCAGGCCCTCCTGCCGACACTCTGCTTGCAGCTGCCGCACATTCATCAGCGCGATATCTTTGCTGCTGGTTGGCTTCGGTGCAGCCTCTGGAACACCTTCGGATGCCGAGTCCGGAGCCATCTCTGTGGGCGTCTCGGGTGGCGACCGTCTGTCCTGCTGCAGTGGGCTCTGGGCTGGGCTTTGAACAAAAAACAGTGCTGCTGCTCCGTCCTTCTTGCTGTTGGCAGGGCTTGCGGACTCGTCCTCTGGGTCCCTCTGTGTCCTGGGCCAAGTGAGTCGTGCTCGAAAACGCTCAAAGTGCGTAGCTGTGCTCGGACCGCCCTGCACCCCACACCCTAACATGCCATCAGACCAACCTTCGGCCATGCGACTTCTCGGGCTTTTCGTCGTCCGAGTCGACCTGCGTCCTGTAGTAATAGTACTAGATACTATACTATACTATTCTATGCTACACTATACTATACTATGCTATGCTAAACTATACTGTGCTATCCTCTACTATACTATACCAAGTTATATCATACAGTATCGTATAGTATCGTATGATATCGTATAGTACAGTATAGTATAACATAATAAAATATAGTATAGTATAGTAGAATAGAGTAGAGTATAGTATACAGGTAAACACCGAAATCATAACAAAAACGGTGGGCGAGCCTTCCCCGAACTACCCGCGCGTTAGGACTCATCTTCGGAAGCCATAACAAAATCGTTTTCCACCATGTAACCGCGGGATATTTGAGTAGTCTGCAAAGCATGTTCAGCGCTGATAAGAAGTCACCACATTTGTTGTTTGCCCCAAATAACCGCGCCTGACACAAAACATGACTTCCACACACCGCGTCTGAAACTTTCTACCGACCCGTGGGCTTGGAAGCGAAAAGAGGCACTTCCAGTGCTAAAGTTGAACTACAACCAAGCACAATCCAGCCAGGACGCCAAACGAGGCATTTCCAGTACTAAAGTTTTACTACAAAAAAATCCAGCCAGGACGCCAAACGAGGCATTTCCAGTACTAAAGTTTTAGTACAAAAAAAACCAGCCAGGATGCCAAACGAGGCATTTCCAGTACTAAAGTTGTACTACTACCAAGCACAATCCAGCCAAGCGCCAAACGAGGCATTTCCAGTGCCAAAGTTGTACTACACGAAAATCCAACCAGGACGCCAAACGAGGCATTTCCAGTACTAAAGTTGTACTACAACCAAAGCACAATCCAGCCAAGACGCCAAACGAGGCATTTCCAGCACTAAAGTTGTACTACTACCACAATCCAGCCAGGACGCCAAGCGAGCCATTTCCAGTCCTAAAGTGGTACTACAACCAAGCACAATCCAGCTGCATTTGGAAAATTGTCTGTAAAGCCTTTCGGGCAAAGTCTTCTTCTTTTTGGCCATTTTTCCAGTGTTTAGCAAATGCTTCACAGCAGTTTTGCATTTCATAGGCCACGATTCTAAAGCCGCACAGTCCGTACCACTGCATTTGCAAAATTGTCTGCAAAGCCTTTCGGGCAAAGTCTTCTTCTTTTTGGCCACCTTTGCCAGTGTTTAGCAAGTGCTTCACAGCAGTTTTGCATTTCATAGGCCACGATTCAAAAGCCGCAGAGTCCGTGCCACTGCATTTGGAAAATTGTTTGTAAAGCCTTTCGGGCAAAGTCTTCTTCGTTTTGGCCTTTTTTGCCAGTGTTTAGCAAGTGCTTCACAGCAGTTTTGCATTTCATAGGCCACGATTCAAAAGCCGCACAGTCCGTACCACTGCATTTGGAAAATTGTCTGTAAAGCTTTTCGGGCAACGTCTTTTTCTTTTTGGCCATTTTTGCCAGTGTTTAGCAAGTGCTTCACAGCAGTTTTGCATTTCATAGGCCACGATTCTAAAGCCGCACAGTCCGTACCACTGCATTTGCAAAATTGTCTGTAAAGCTTTTCGGGCAACGTCTTTTTCTTTTTGGCCATTTTTGCCAGTGTTTAGCAAGTGCTTCACAGGCCACGGCTCAAAAACCGCAGAGTCCGTACCACTGCATTTGGAAAATTATCTGTAAAGCCTTTCGGGCAAAGTCTTCTTCTTTTTAACCATTTCGCCGGTGTTTCGCAAGTGCTTCATAGCAGTTTTGCATTTCATAGGCCACCAGGACGCCAAACGAGGCATTTCCAGTACTAAAGTTGAACTGCTATATTACACTATACTAATACTCTTCTACTCTACTCTACTCTACTACTCTACTCTGCTCTGCTCTACTATACTATACTATACTAAACCTTAGCCACGCTGCCTCTGGGTCACATTCCCAGCCATAGCATTGTTCTGCAGGGGTTCCTGCGCACACACCGGTTTGCTGCGATAGCAGTATGCGTGCGGGAGCAAGGCTGGCCTTAACTAAATTCCAATGCCCGCTCGTAGTGGTGAAGGAAAATCTCAGGTGAGCCACGAGCTGACCACGTCCGTAAATTCCTTCGCGCGGGGGGTTCTCTGCGCCGACCCTGGAGATCTTTTGCAAGGCCTGGCACGAGGCACAACAAACTTTATAAACCCCGCGGTGAAAGCGCATCGGTGCCTCTGGATCGCACGAAGCCCGAACGGAAATCTGCAAAGCATCCGCTATCCAAGCAAGGTCCTGCGAGTACGGGCATGCTGTCTTACTGAATCTCTTGAAGCGTGCTGCTGCAAAGCCGTCCTCCATGGCAAAGAACTCTTGGCATCGAACTCGTTCTATAGCCTCGCGCCATGACAGCTTGCGGAGTATCACGAGGGGCCTACGCGTCAGTCATGGCCTCCTGCTGGTGCGGGCTGCGCTTGAGCGCAAGGTCACAGGTCTCTTTGCAGAGCGTGCGTGCTTGATGTGTCTCTAGCCGCAGTCGGTCCGCGGCTTTGGCGTAGCCAAGGGAAGTCCTAAGCTACACAGCAAAATAAAAAAGGCGGAAATACAAAGCAGCAGGAAACCGTTGCAACTGCGGCGAAGAATCCGCTCCACTGCCAGGAAACCTTGAACGTCCCGACTGGCGACTAGGCAATGCCAGCCACAGAGGCCATCCGGCGGGATGACTAGAACGTCGGCCTGGCTGCAGGATGTCTGATTGTGACCCATGAAATTGGTCGGGTATATTGTAACTCTAAAACAAATAGGACGATGCAGACACTCACGACGGTGATCATTTGTAACACCATCAGTGCTCTGTTGCTGTAACTGCACCTGAGCTTAAGACTTAAGAATCAAGCGCAAGGAGGCTTCCAGTAGTTCCACTTGGAGGATCACCCGTATGCCATTCGCTGAATTGGAACCTGGAGCCCAAACATCACCCAACCTAACACTGCCGGCAAGCTCCTGAGGCTCTATCAGATGTGGTGGCGGTGCCTCCGAGAAAGCTTGCGGGGGTGCACTGGGCAGCGAAGTGCCTGCTGACAGCGAAGGAAACGGGGATTGCATGCACATTCAAGGAAGAATGTTCGCCACGAACTGTGGGCTTGGAGGATCAGGGGCACGCCGATGCAAGATACTTCATATAGGCACGGGTTGGAGATGGAAGGTACAGAAAAGCCGACTGCTTTCTGTTCATGTGAAGCTGGCTGTGTCTCTCTATGCGTGGTGAGGACAAACTGAAAAAGATCCGCTGAGAACCAACAGACGTTCCTGTAAGGCTTTGGCACACGCCTCCTCCGTGGTCGAGTGACGAAGGCTGCCGCTCCTCTCAGCTGAGCACAGAAGGGCAGGTAGCAACAAAAGTTCGGGACGATGGGTTTACGACTTCAAGGTCGTCCAGAGCATGGGTAATCACTACATGTCAGTGTCGTCGGCGCTGGTGCTCTACCACCAATTTGTGACATGGTTTGTGCTGCAATCGCTCTCACGGTGACGACGACCCCGAGCACAAGAACGCAAGCTCACCAGCTCAGCATACACTCGCGATTTTGGAATCCAACTGAGCTTGTGGCCATCGTCATCTTGGCCAGTCCATCAGCCTCGTGCCGCGTAACACACCCTACCTGGAAGAAACCCCAAAACAATCGTATCAGCGCCGGCAAAAATGACCATGTGTCCACGAGGCCTGGACGTCTAAGCGGCGTCTCCGCTTTGTGGCTGGCGGTGAATCCTGTTGGAATACAACAAAGCCAGGTACAAAGCATGCACAGCCATGCACAGTCAGAACGTGACAGAAAAGGCCCCCAACCTGCGGCCGGTTTGGCTCAGGGGTTCTGAAGCCAGTCTCTTGCGGCAACGAGTCGCCCTGTGCGGTGAGAAACACGACTCCACCACAGTTAAAGATTGAAGGCTTCACGCCTGGCCCTTTGTCGGCGAAGTGAGGTCGACCTGACAGGACTAACACGACACCGCGGTTGGCAACAAATGGTTTCTGTTCTGCCTGCTGGTTCTTGGGCGGCGAATCCGTCAGGTCAACCTGACGGCATTGTGCGGCACTTGAAGGATTTTGCAAGCCGGAGTCTGGCCTTGTTGGTTGGCGGAGACACCGTGAGGTCAACCTGACGGCATTGCGCGGCACTTGAAGGATTTTGCAAGCCGGAGTCTGGCCTTGTTTGCTGGCGGAGACACCGTGAGGTCAAGCTGGCAGCCTGCCACCGTTTCGCGCGCATCAGCCGCCATGCCAAACCTGTTAGAGGCAGCACGAATGCGGAGTCGTACCGAGCAGCAGACAAGAAATGGTTGGGGAAGAGCACTGTTTTTTTCTGAAGCGAGACAGGCGGGGAATGGTTGTCGACCCCTGCTGCTGCCAGAAGGCAAGCGGTAAACAGACTAGACTGATGCGAGGGAAGCTAGTCTATTCGACCCCTGCTGCTGCCAGAAGGCAGGCGGTAGACAGACTAGACTGATGCGAGGGAAGCTAGTCTATTTACCTGAGATTAGTGGCGCGACCTTGCCAGTAGTCTATCTGCCTCTGATGTGGGGAGCTCCATCCCGCGAACACTAATCAAAACCCAATCCCTGGACCAGAGCGAAAGAAGACGACCCCCGCGCCCATATGACTCGAACTGCCACGCCTCCTGCTGCCGCAACCCGGTGCGCCCCGGGCTAGCCGATACAGCGACGAAGCAGTGACGACACAGTGAGCCGCAGCAACTCACAAATGCAGCACCACCAACTGCTACCCGCATAACCTTAGCGCTATTACTGCCTGCCCTACGCTATTACTGACCCATAGCGCTATTACGGAACATGCTGATACCTTAACCATCACGTAAAGCCGACTGAAAACCATAAGGCTACATCTAGCTTGTCCGAATTTCTGTTTGTGTTCTCGTGAATATTTACTGAAAGTCGAATAGAAGCCATTGTTCCCAGTCCAGAACGTGATTCTCGTGTTAGAAAAAGTGGTACACACACACACACCGAATCACTCCTCGAAAGAGGTTCATCCATGTAGTTGGAAATAGCATTGCGAGGAATTTTCTACGTACCGAGCGAGGAAACCTAACAGTTTAAGTCGCGAATTTTGTTTCGCTCACCATGCATAGTCTTATCAGTTTTGTCTCGTCGACATCCGGCTTCCTTGGAACGATGTTTGAACAAAACGTTGCAACCAGTTCGCCTATGTACGAAGTGATGAAACCTGACCACGCTGTAAAACATGAAATGCTGTCTCTCCCTACAATGACGTCGTATCAGCCGTATCTCAACTTTCTGTGTACCGTGGTATTCCAATGTTGACTGACCTACTGTAGTCCCGATAGAGCCCCTTCATATTCCGCATTTTGATTCCTGCGTGAGTGACATGTTAGCAGCTATTCTCTCAATGTGTACATAGATCTCATAAACCCGATGTACTGGAACGGACAGACTATTGTGTAAAGTCGCCATATAGCCTTTCCGCTAAAGTTGGGGAATGCGCATATTGTCCCCGGAATTATGTTTGTTACAAAGCACTGCATCATGCCTCAACAACCGAATACACGCCAATTACCTCGGACCCTCTATTCTTCTAGTCCTTGTGTAATTTCATTGCGGTTACATTCACCCTGAAACACCGAAACTTTCGAACGTTTGGATTTAGGTGTTGATGAAGTACTGTAGCGGTGGCACAGGCCTGGTTATAACCTCTGTCCCCGGTTATAACCAGGACACCTGCGTAGTAGGCAGCCCTAGACCCATCACTAAACCATTAAACCATTAACAAACCGTTAAATTAGTACACCGTGAAATAAATCCTTTGCCCCAATGGACCCAAACCAATAGACCATTAAACCACTAAACCAATCCTCTTGCCCCATACCACTAAACCATTAAACCAATCCCCTTACCCCATACCACTAAACCACTAAACCATTAAACCATTAAACCAATCCTTTCCCCCAATGCACCAAACCCACTAAACCATTAAACCATTAAACCAATGCTTTCGGCCCATACAGGGTTGTGTCTCTCTCTATAGGGGCAAATGATTGGTTTAATAGTTTAATGGTTTAATGGTTTAGTGGTATGGGGCAAAAGGATTGGATTAATGGTTTAATGGTTTATTGGTTTGGGTCCTTTGGGGGAAAGGATTGGTTTAATGGTTTAATGGTTTGGGTCCACTGGGGGAAAGGATTGGTTTAATGGTTTAATGGCTTATTGGTCTGGGTCCATTGGGGGAAAGGATTGGTTTAATGGAAAGGATTGGTTTAATGGTTTAATAGTTCAGATGTGCAAAAACCCAGGGGACCCCATATAGGGGGGGTACCCATTTTTTTATACAATATGTGTGCATACATGTACGTATATATAAGGAAGGAGAGGGATAGAGAGAGAGAGAGAGAGAGACCTATTACCTGAAGCTATCACATAATGGAGCGTATCTTGATATGTTGAGCACTTTATCTTCAACTCTACAACTTGAAAAAACACATGCCCGAATGCCATGCGTCATTGGCTGATTTTGCTGCGTCGTGCAGAATAGCCCCAAACAAGCGCTTCCTGCTCTTGATTGGATTGGAACTGTGGTTCAAGTCACAATGCACTCCTCTACCAGAGCTTCATTAAGCCATTCGACTTCGATCGCAGCAGACAAAGATAACACGGGAGAGACATCATCTCCTACCATCGATGATACGACTTGCCTCGCAGGCTGTGCAGCAGCAGCGGCCATCAGCGTGACGGCGGGCATGCACTGCTCCCGCAGAGCCTGTCCCAGATTCTCAGAAATTCTTCTCTTTTCTGACCGTTTGGTTTGCGCTGCGATCCGGCTCGCCTTGCACGAAACTTGACGTGGCTGGCCAATCGCGAACGTTTGTGTGCAATTAGCGAAGTCACGGCAGTTCCACAGGTTTCAGGAAGTTGACAAAGCGTTGACGCCGCCGGCCGTCCAACGGAAGCAGACATGGTGGGACAAATTTGAGCTTCGGCGAGGTCTAGACTTAGAAGTACCCCTAACATGACACGGGTGCAACAATGAGCTGCAGCCCGGCTCCGTCACAAGGGACAGCAGCCACTTTCATCCGCGAACGCATGCTCGAACTAAACAAAGACTGCTTCGCAGAGAGGCCTGTAGAGCTACGGCACCTCGCTTGCAGGTAGGCTGGGCATGATCCATATGCACCTTGGTCCAGCTCAGAGCGCATGCTCGTTTGCTGTAACAATATCCCACGGGATTTCTACAAGCATATACAATACAATATAAACACACATATGTATGTGCACATACACATATGCATAAGTGCTGATCGCTCCCCATGGTTCGAAGGCTGACTGAACAGACCACAATCGATTGCACTTTTATCGAGCAATCTCTTTCTACACGCGGATCCCGCAAAAATCTTCAAGCAGCCGATCACTGGCCATCCGATCACTGGTAAAGTGAAAGGCCGAATGGTACTAACCCGCACTTGGGCCTACGATCAATAAGCAGAGCTTATCCCAGCGGGGAACCGAGCCACCTTGAGACCCTGGAGGGAGCGGATCGAAGTGAACAGCCCAGTGACTGCGTCCAACCGTAGCGCGCCCGCCAAATGCTCTCAACATGAACAAACAGCTATCGTGCATGCTCGCGGGTGTCCCTTGACTCATCATTCAAAACATCTTAAGACCCTACTCTTTGCGATGTGCGGGTGCGGCTACGGACGCTACATGACCAAGGCAAGCAGGGCCTAAGACTGCACATGCGCCCGCGTTCGACGGCATTGGATTTTCGTGGCAACGCTTTGTATCAGCCAACAGAGCTCGTCCGCTTTCTGTTAAGCCGAAAAGCCGTGCCCCAATCCGTTGCTCGAGCGAATGCTTCTCACCGGTGTGCTCCGGCACCGCCACCAGAAGATCAGGGCGCGCACAAAGTAAATCACTCCAACACGACGGGGAAGCCGACAGGTGCAGGATAGTCAGATGGCTACCTGCTGCTTCTTGTCTGTCGAGTTGTTTCTGCGCTGTCGCTGTCCCGTGGCTGCAAACACCGAGTAACGCATTCCCAAGAATACTGTGCAAAGCTCCAAGAAAACCACACGGTGTCCAAGTATTGGGCTTATCGGCTTTCTCTTCCGTTCTCGAACTGTTTGCAGCTTCTTATGACCGACGAGTGCATTTTCGAAGCCGAACTCCGACCAGAAGTCGGACTCAGAGGTTTTTCCGAGAGCAGAAGACATGCGATGAAGGCCACAGAGCCTTTTAGGAGCCTACGGCCGGCTCTGTCTCATCTAGGGGTAGGGATTACTATAGGGGCGTGTAAGGGTTCCTTTTGGAGGGGTTTATAAGGGTTACTAATTCTTCTCAGAGTGCCAGCTGAGAGGAATCGGCTTCGGGCTCATTGGGCAAGGGACCTCGCGATAAAAACACCTGGGCTACAGAACTACCGCTGGAATTCGTAACATGGTGACACAATGGATGGTGAAAACCCAAGAACTGCTTTCCTGGCTATCATTGCGAAAACCCTTAGAAGAATGAGCAGAGGAGGTTTAGCCCCATCGCTCCTGGGCTAATTTTGCTGCCGGCATGGTGATTGCAAGAGCTGAGCACTCGACAGTCATGTCCTCAGATGCCTCCCGGAAGGATCTTTGAGCTGCGAGTGCAAAGTGAAAATTTCTTGCAAGCGAGCCTGATCCAGGTCTGACTTGCACAGCGGCACCTCTTGGAAGTTGGCCTGAATATATAATTTTGAATATGTAACAAATGACGTGTCACACGACATATATAAGAAAAGTGTACAATATATTATATACAGTTTACAAAATTTACATGTATGTATATATATATATGTATATTTGTTTATAGCATATATTGTACGTATAGCCGTGCTTCGGACAGTCTGTGACTTCTGACCCAGCTGTTGCGTTGCGAATCCGAATCGGACCTCTGCGGCTGCCGTCGCCCGTTGGCAATTTCCTTCCTCATGTGCGATTTGGACCTGCAGATGGGCTGCTAGCTCATACAAATTTCAGCCCATGCTCGGCTTGGCAATTGCGAGCTCTCGACGAAACTACTGTGTGCATCCGTCAAGCACTGTCAGGCGCATGCCGATGTTAACAAGCGTAGGCTCTAAAGCAGGCAAAAAATCATCACGGTCAGGAGACGCCACTCTGAAGTTGACGCCGAACCGTGGTCTATCATAGTGAAGGGATGTGAAGGGCTGTTTTTGCTGTCGGTAGCATGTGTCGCCGTTTCAGAACCCACAGTGAACAAAAGCGCCATGAAACAGATGTCGGCTCTGCACTTGCGTGAACGAGAGCACTGTCCACCGCAGCACGACTCGGGCGAGGGGCAGGTTGCGATCGATAGCTTGAGGACGTTACAAATGTCCGGCACTTTAGCCTCGAGTTGACACTGAATACCGGCGTTGCCTTGTGAAAGGACTCCTTCAGCGTCGTGGCAGCAGACTCTGCGACAGATGCCTGCCAAAATACGTCGTGACCACAAGCTGCTGCCGCAGGCCCGCAGGGCTTGCGTGAGTAAGGCACATGCTGTCTTAGACACCATCAAAAACGACACTGGACGCTCACCTTCGCGTGCAAATCATCCAACAGCCTTGGCTCGTGTTTGCGGGCACAGGTCCGCATGCAGAGTGGCCTAGTTCAGCAATTGCAAGGCTCTGGAGGCAAGAAGCAAACCTACTCAAGAAGAACAAATTCTCGCTATTCCGTATTTCTGTGTGCCAAGGCGCTTGTCCAGCTTCATCTTCTCTTTCTCGTACGTCGCAAAGAGTGGGTTCATGTGCGAGTTGACACGCGAATTCTCCCTGTGCCACTTCGTGCCCAGAAAGGTGAGGAGTCCTGCTTATGAAGGGTGCAACCTGCACCCTAAACCCGAATCCAAGCAACCCCTGGAGTTACCCGCTTCCGTCCTTTCTCGCTCTCCTCCGCCTCGGCGGACATTGCCTTCTGGCTCTCCTTTGTCGACCCGGCTTGGGGGGCTTAACGATTACTTTTATTTATTATCATTATTACTATTACTATGATCTATTATTGTTATTATTACTACTACTCCTTTACGACTCCAAGAGGTGAGGGCGCGAAGGCAAGCAACATCACATCATCTCGTTCAACCAAGAAGCCGGATTGTGGAGTGTTCCCGGCAGGCACAAGCAGGCTTCATGGTTCTCTGTTTGCCCCTTCAGACCTGGCAGCGACACGTCTCGCGCCCCCCCCCCCGATAATTATATTTACCCTTTTCCCATTTACTTGCAAGTTTACCCTTTTCCCAACTTCTTCTACATACATTGATAGTTCATATGGGATTAATACATATACATGTAGACATATTATACATATATATATATATATATACATGAAAAACTGCAAAGGGCTTGGACCTGGCCCGGGCCCGGCCTTCAGCTCCAGCAAGCCTCATAAAACGAACTGTGCCGCTGCGAAATGCCTGTCTACTGTGGCTTCTGTCCAGCATGTGGGCTCCGAATCGCAGCAAAGAGGCTTGTCGAACAAGTCTTCGTTAGCTTCCTCGGCGCAAGACGAAAAGAGCTGGATGGCTCGACTGCGCAACAGATCCGTCAATTCTTCTCCTGTTGGGGATCAAGGAGCTCTCTGGAGCGGATTACTTTTCAAGCCGAGTCGCGGAAGGCTCTCCGTCGTTGACGGGGATGGGCGGTGGGCTCTCAATGCCGTCCTGGCAGTCGCTGAGCAACATGGCCGTAAGAGCAGACACTCCTGGAGCAAAGAGAAAAGGCATGTCCTTAATCAACTCGGCATGGATCTGCTCCCTTTGCTTCCTGCATCCGAATCCGACCAGACTCATGCGAGTGGGTGGCCTCATCAGCCTAAATGCCTCAAGCGATGCGTGATACAGTGGTCATTTACTCTGTGTTCGCATCTGTTTGCATATGTAGGTAGATTCGCAGCTAAATAGATACATAGACAAAGAAATGGATGACAGACTGATTGACTGACTGACTGGTTGATTGACAGGTAGATTGACGGGTAGATAGACAGACACACAGAAAGACAAATAGATAGCCAGCTGGACAGATAATTAAAAAATGAATAAATAGATAGATGGATAAGGAGATAATCCTGTTGTCGTTTAGTTTAAGCCTAGCAGCTTGAAAGACATAAAGAAGCTGGTGCCATGATCCGCAGCCAAGGAAGCAGCAATACCAAGCGGCGCCATTGCTGCAACTATATGCGGCTTTACTATTCTGTTTCTGAATGCTAAATTGGGCATGCAGTCTGCTTGTCGGTTGGCTTTCGGCTGCATGCCGCAACCAAACGAAGTACGAAGTCTTGTCGGAGCACTGCAGTTCTGCCCAGACCCACCTGTTGCTGCGTTGCGAATGTTTGGGTATGCTGGATGGCTCTGCAGCTGTGAGGCTCATGAGCAACAGCTGCACTTTGCGATGAGTGATGATGCGCAGCTGAACCATCTCGGTACCGATATGCCCAGCCTCGTGCGACCTCTTCCACATTGCCGCCCGAAGCGAGCCAGCTGTGCCACGTTGGACGGGACCTCCTCTTGCACGCAGAGCCTTAAAGTGGCATCATGCGGTCGACTTAAGGCAGAGAGTACCTTGACATTGACGAATCGGAACCCGCCTTCCTCCAGTCTTCCGCCCTACATGCAGTACACCTGGATACTGGAATTTAGGAGATTCACGGAGGCTTTATAAGCGCAAGATGTGTGCAGCAGTCGTAGCAGTAGCTGCATTGGTACACTCTTTCTCTTCTCTCCTGTCCTGCACTGAGCAACGGGTCCGAGGCCTGATACTCTTCCTCTCTTCTTGTTTCGTGCAACGTGTCTAGAGCGCTCTGCAGAAGTGCCAAGCTTGGACGAGATGGACTTAAGACAATTGGCGATTCATCGGGACATGTCATAACAGCATTGCAAGAGCATTAAATATGAGCGTCGGGTCCTCTTCGTGTGACTCTTGGCCTGAAGCCTCGTGTCCCCTGGACCTGTTTAGGACCGACCATCTGCCTGAGCACAGGGAGACGGACTGGACCATCTGTCATATGATGGTAATACAGCTGCTGTTCAGCCAGGTAGCTGTGTGCACATGGCAAACCCCATGGCGCTAGAAGGTCCGTGGCCAGCTGCTAAGAATTCTAACCTAATCCTCTCTTTTTAAAGTGAAAGGCGCCTCGTAATTGAAGTTTCAGCGACAGATGTCTGGCAAAGGAGCTTGGCCTAGGCCTTGACTTCGTCATGCTAGCATGCCACCTTCTTCACGCACCAAAGCACTTCATCAAGGCTTCACTGGTCCATGCTAATTAAGTCATGAAGGGGCCCGGCTGCGCCGTTCTGAAGGCTCAAGCTAGTGCACAAGGGAGCCAAGACGTCACGCCTTCGCGTGCTACACGTGACTCTACGTGTAACGGCCTCATGTAGTCGTCCTAAAGCCTGAAGCCGCCTGTACGCCGGACCATCAAGCCTCCGCCGAAGTCTCGGAATGCGCCAAATAAACCCACATTATATGACTCAGAACGTGATGCAGGGCTCTACCACGGGGGGTAGAGGCTCATCAACATGAAAGAGTGCGAGAGCTTGACGGTCACCGTTCTTTTCGGCTCGATGCTTCACGAAGTCCTAGCCATTCCCGCACTTCGTCGACCTCCTGCTGAAACCTGGTACGAGTACGTGGGCTCGTCGCAGACACAGGGTGTGAAGGCTGCGCATCGCGCCTTGGATGCAGCCAGCGCCAGGTCATGGACACGCGCGGATGCGAAACCTTGGGCACCTGCAAAGATCTCAAACGAGATTGAAGCATGAAGCTCGAAGCTCGCAGTCACTATGCAAACTGGCATACTACGCTTCAAGGCTTAACTACTCCTACCAGTTCCCACCGCGACACCTCATGGCCGTAGAGAAAGCGAGCTTCGCGCTCCAGGCAAATGGCAGTCCCAGCTCTCTCCAGCACCTGCAGAGTCGTTGCGATGTGCCGCGACAAGAAACGAAGAACCAGCTCAGGCTACAAGGCCTGGTAGTGCTGTGGGGATCTGTCACCTGAGCTCAGGTGCACTCGATGTCTGTGCTGCTAGCAAAAGACTCGTGCACTCATGCTCGATGCTTGCCCCCTCACGAGGCGATGATCCGATGCAGCGAATCAACAGAACCACCGCGCCACTGTACTTTAGGAGGCGGCTGAACTTGCAAAACCGTGTCTGCTTGGCATTTCAACCGTCTCAAAACGGGCATCCGAAGCCCGGTTGCTTTTCTCTGCTGAGGCCGTGGTCCGACTCCCGGGCGGTCCGGGTCTGTAAAAGGGAAGGTTAGGCCCTAGGCTTACAGCTGACGCTTCGGCTTCAGCCTTACAACCTGTCAAGCTGCGCCCAAGGAAATGCCTCGTGCAATTCACAAAGCAGCCCACACCTCAACTCTGGTTTCCAGGAATCTTTGGTAGATGGGCGGCCTTTAAAAAGTTGTTAAAAGTGTGGCGTGCCAAGGACCTGGCCCAATCAGCGAAATGAAAGACAAGCTTACTTAAAACGTTTCCGAAGAGCCCCTCTTCCGCTCCATGCCAATCAACAGTGTTTTCTGCGGAGAGCCAGCTGGAGCATGCAGGAGCTTATCCGACCCAAGTCACAATTCCCGTGCAATAGCTCTCTGTGCCCCGCCTTCTTCCGGCCGGCGCATCACGATCGGTAGTACTCGGTTGCTCTGGGGCCGGCTATGACTTTTTCTCATTCGGAAGGCTCGGAGGTTGTCACAAGTCACGTCAGCAAAGAGTCTGAGTGCTGCTGAAAAACACCAAGCCAGCCCCCAGCCGCTGCTGTGTAATTCGTGAGCCCACATGTAGAATGGACCCAGCCAACCGGCAGCACCATCATTTCCTTGGCTTTCACGTTGAGCCATCACTGCACCGTGCTTTATCCACCCACTCACGGCGAATTTTTCGATTCTGCTCTCTGTTGCGTCTGTGCATCGCCAGGACCCACCAGGCACGACTTCGTTCCCGGCCTGGAGATACAACTGAACACCGGGTGCGGCCATACTCCGAACTTTTGAACAACTGCATGGGTTTCCTGTTGTAGGACGACTCGTTAAGAACTCCGGCGGCGATTCGCCAGAAGCTGAACTACCGGACTGCCGTAAACTCGCCGCGTGTGTGCAAGGCGCTGTTTCGCAAGGCTCAGAATGCTTAGCCGAGCGGCGGAGGCTCCACCTCGTTGCAGGCAAGGCAGAAAGCAAATCTCTGCTTCCAACCCCGGCGTCTTTTCAGCAACAGAGTGACAGGCTGCATTCTTCCCTGCCTGCTTCAGCATGGCACAACCGTTCGGGTGCGCAAAGACAGTGCCGTCTGGGAGTACTGGTGAACCACCCCAGCCCTGGCAGTCATTTGCCAGTTGAGATCACGACTCTTCCAGTGATGCCAGAGAGGGCTGACCGAGTATCTCTGGTATGCAATCCTATGTGTCTTGAAGTATCTGTCAGGAGAGCGCGCAGCACAATTCCATATCGGGCAATGAAGTGCCGGCTGAGATGCTATGGAGTCATCTGAGGTGTCAGATTCGGGCGCTGTCCTCCCGGGTGCACTAGCCTCTATACCCAACGGTTGAGCAAAACCGTGTAAAGGCTACTTTCAACGGGCGCGATTCGCGAACCGCCACTGCAGGCAAGCTTCCCTCTATAGTGTGGAGGAAGCAGCCACCACATCTTGTAGCCTGAACACCAGGGTGTTGGGGCCCATTAAAGAATACTTATAACAAGGGACCCCCAAAACAGCATAGGTAATTCCACTGTACGAGAACAACTGCTACAGTCATGTTTATCCTTGGTATTGCTGGCTTCTAGGCCTCTTTGGGTACTATTGAGAACGAACTGTCATGCCGCTGTTCACACTTGTGACCTTGTGCTTCGTGTGGTTGCTTTCACTCAGTGCAGCCGCTGTTCTCTCACGGTATGTTGGTTGCTGATGCTTCTTTGCCAGCACTACACAACACGACAACAACTATCGCCATCATAATCATCGTCCTCCTTGTAGTAAGGAACAGGTAATTATTGAGTATACGTATATAATACGGAACCCCTACAATAGTATAGTTAATTGTGAAGGTCCCTATATGACGCCGGTGGCAAAGAAGACTGGAGGACCAGGGCCAAGGGGCCCTGGACTTGCACTTGCCAGACTGGGTCGTGGCAGTGGAAGCCGTGGGAACTGCCTGTCAAGATGGGTACTTTTCCCTCTCGCATGGCTGGAGACGATCTTGATGGGTATAGGCATTGGGTTTCGGCGCTCACACTCGATGGGTGAAACTTCACTGGAGGAATAGTCAAAATACAACCAACAATTGATCTAACTAACGCGTAAAGTGACTGTGCATGCTCAGACATCTTCCTCCCAGGATCCTACCCTGATGTGAAGCAAAATGCGTGACTTGTAGGACCCTGGGCATGGACAGGCACAGATCACTTCAGGGTTCTTGGGCGAGATATGAACTGAGATCTACTATATATATATATATATAAGGTAACATATTAAACAGACAAGGAAAAGCCAAGACTTGCCTAGGTAGCAAGTGATCTGGTGATGTCATCTTTACGATGACTCTGTCTGATTCTACCAATTGCTATGAATGTGCGTGGGTCTTGTGTTTCGGCGCTCACACTCGGACAATCCAGGCGAGGCATATGGTTTGGAGTCTGCCAATGTGAAACATGCTACGGGCAACAGTCAAGGATGATAATCAACAGGGGTTTGGATTCCGGGTTCAGGGTTTACGGTCCAAGGCTACAATCAACAGAAGCTGGCCGAGCTGTTCTCCGCCTATGGAGTCGATGGCCACGATGGCCTCGCAGACTTCCGGTCCCCATGCAAAGTCCGGGCTTGGAGAGAACTGACCTTCAGTGCCAGCAAACTGTATCGACTACTCTCGCATGCGGCCTTTGTCTTCAACACATCCAGCTCACGTACTTGGGAGTATCCCCTTCACACTCAACTGCCACAGCGACTGCAGCAGACAGCTGCTAAAAGTGCCTCTGATTTTATCCATGGTCTTCTTGAGGTCGCCCCGCTTGTCACAGCCATCTTCGCTTCCGAAAAGGAAAATGTTTCTAGCACCTGGGAATGTGTGCAACACTTCTGACAGCTTTGCAGCTTGCACGAAGCAAAACATCAGGGAGAACAGCCCCCCCGCGGCAGGCTGCTTGCGCGCCCAAGTTTCTGTCATCGTGGCCGACATACTCACGGAAGGTCGTCAAATTGTGCGTTGAATAGACCCAGTCCTTGACACAACTGACCAGGGCGCCCTGGGAAAGAACACTCTGGTTTCGCCTTCAGCACATTCCCTGATTGTGTAGTGTATTGAATCGCTCGACTTTGTGGATGCGTCGCAGGTGCAGACAAGCTTCCGGATAATCGAAGGACTGCCTCCCAGGTCCAGCACAAGCACATCCCGACAAGGAAAGCAAGTCTCCAAGTGCCTCTGCCAGGGCAGGTCACCCAGGTAATCGGCCAGCTCGTCCTAGAGAGGTAATGCCCAGGGCAACATGCTATGGACTTGGAGTTTGCGACATGGTTCTGTCGGAAAGTCCAGCTGCAACCCGAAGTCCTTGCCCCAATGAGTGGCAGCTCTCCAACCAAGCTGCTTGGGCACATGTCCCTGCACGGATGCTTGAAACGTGCGGTGTCATTTGCCGATGCTACAGTGGCAGAAGGCTTCTTTGGACGCAGCGACCTGCCTTGACCAGAACTGGCTTATTCTTATGCAGAAGTCCCGGAAAAGCATGCCGGAAGTCCTGCGGCACAGCAACAAGGAATTGCCGTTTTGGCGAGTACACAGGGCTACTTCTCCTGTCTCTTGGAACGCCCTGGCTCAAGAGAGACAGTCAAGAATACCCACACGCCTTGAACTTCTTGTCGAACTTCTCTCGTGGAGTGTCCTCAGGCTGGAAACCATGCAGCGATACCACTAGCTCTGCGTTGAATTTCTGCTCTACGACGACATGGATGGTTGCGTGTCCACACATCCGGGCCTTCTTCAGTTGCTCCAGCTCTTCATGCCAACGCTGGCTAACCTGTAGCTGTAATCCTATGCTACAAGACAGGGTGTCGAGTCCAGCCTAGCTACGGTTTATATACGGCATGTGTCTTATGCTATAAACATCGGGTATCGGGCGCTTGGTACTGTAGACTGTAGACAATGTAGACACCGACTTGGGATGTCTGACAACATTTCCCTAACCTGACCCGCTGCAGGCCTCATCCAGGGTCATGGTATGGATGTTCGGGCATCGATCCTCAAGAGAATCGTGCTTTACCTTCCTCGGTAGCGCAAAAATGCGCAAAAGGAGAAAACAGGCAAGCAACGACGTCAAGTTCGGCTAAGTTGCTCAAAGTATTCAGCTGCATCCGCACGGTAATCGCGACCATCAATGATCTGCATGCAACCATGCCATGCTGTCTTTGCACAAAGGATATGTTTCGGCTCTGTTAGGAGCGGGAACAGACTGGCCAAGCCTACTCCTACAGTATACGACAACATTGGCCGGAATGGCCCGCCTTGTTGTGCGTCTGCGAATGATGTTGGTGACGCCGCTTCACGGCCTCTTTCGCGTGGCGTGCCTGCAGCAAGCCACTTAGATCGCCGGCCTGCCCGTTGACTGCACTAACTTTACTCGCAGGTTTGATGCTGAGTACATGGCTGTTCAAACTCACAACTGCTGAGTGCTCTGCTCCCTCAGCTTCCATTTCTACGAACGTGAGTGCGAGTGGCTGTGGCAACACACCGGCCGCATAAGCTGTCCTGCGTTAGCTCGCTCACCGGATGCGCTTGTAGCAGCGACGCATCTTCGCGAGCAGTACCTGCCAAATGAAACATTGCATCTTGCTCCATGACCTCCCAGCTACTAGTAGGTTGGGCTGGGAATTCAAGCTCCCACGTGCCGCGCTGCAGGCGACAAAGTCAGCGACGACGGCATCAAACTGGCCAAGAAGCCCGCAGCTGTAGATGCGCAAACCCCTTGCGAACAGCGCTGTTCTTGAGCTTGGACCTGGTCGCAAGGGG